CGAGCGACCAGGACAAGTTGACGATAGGATAGGGTGTTTCTGTTGAGATTAGAACTCCAGCATCGGCGCTCTGAAATAAAACCAAAAAACCACTTTGCCGTTCTCCTTCCCGAATTTGAATTATTTTTCTAAATAATCTATTTCTTGCAATAGTAGGCGACCCATACAAAAGACCCTCTTTCATTAGAACATATTGCTAAATACTATGTGACGAATGAACGATAAAAAATTTTTTACAGTGAAAAATACTGAAAAAATCCATACAAAAATCCATAAAAATTTAGAAATTTACAGGTTAAATGTGTCAATACTTCAGTTAACTTACTTTAGGCACAAAACGTATAGCGACAGGCAAACAAAGTAATATTTGGATAGTTTCTGCGAATATCGCCTAATATCCCTCTCTAAGCATTCTGTCGCATTGTACTGCTGCAAAATTGCCTACCTTTGCCTATGCATAAAACCGACTGATAGTTGTTCGACTCCGACTCCTAATTTATACATTTTTTAGCAGTGACCTTGGCCCCAGCCTTCATTAATTCTAAATCCTTCGAATTATTTGACCGGATATCCTATCATATATTTTTCAAATGTATCGCAGTCGGAAGGCCCTATGGTGACAGTAAGATTCCTTCACTATAGAGCCGTCTGGAAATTGGAATATATGTAGATGTCCCTAGCAGCCATGCATAGATTTTTGTGGCAGGTTTTCCTATCATGAATGAAAAATGAAAAGAAAAAGGGAGTGAAAAGTGTATTAAATTATAATAAACAACTAACTTTTTAACAATTAATTTTGTCAATTTTTAATTTTTTGAGTTTAATTTACAAAATTTCAAATAAAAAACAAATTTAATGCTATTCAAACCTTAACGAAAAAATTTGAAGAAACTTTAAGAAATTTCAATTATTATAAAACGACAACAAAAAAAGCAAAAAACTCGGCGAACTTAGATTTTTATTGGATTTTATTAATTTAAAAAATAATATCGCTTTTATGTAATTAAAATTGGTTAAATTTATTTTATGGATTTAATTAACTAGAAATTTTAATTTTTTGATTTAATAACCTATATTATCAAGCTTTTCAAGCTTAGAATTGAGTTAACATTATCAAATGCATGGCATAACAGTTTCATGAGTACAATTCATATAAAAATTCTTGTCAAAATTTGTATGAAAGCATAAACATAAAAAACTGATTTCAGTACCATACTATCTAGAAAAATGAAGAAAATTCAGAAAAAATATATTCTAACATTTGACGAATTGCCAAATTGTTTTTCCTAATTTTTGTGTCATTTCATAACATAATTTGGACCAATGCTAACTGTCCAAAATCAAATAAACAAAGATATTCCATGAAATCGTCATTGTTTGCATTGCAGAATTTTTGCGTTTTAATGATTTTATGTTGAATGGATTTGATGAGTGTTATTTTGCGTTATTTAGCCCTTAGTTAGCACAATTGTCTAGCGTTATATTCAACGTATCAATTCAAATTTAAGTCAGGAAATCACGAATTTTACTAAAAAATTTTAGAGAGTAGTGATAAAGGAATTTATGCTTCGAAAATTTTTCATTCTTTTTAGTGATTTTTACAAAAATTCGAATTTGATTACTTCGCAGGCAAATTGACAAAACCTAAAGAAGATAGAGAAAACCTAAAGAAACCAAATATACGTTGCGAATTGAAGAAATAATTCAGAAACTTAACTTTTTAATTCGGATTTGAGAAATAAAAATAAATTCAAAATAAGATCGAAAACTTCTAAAGCTTCAAAAAAAATTAATTTGCATGCATTTCATTAATCTAATAGGTTCCGAAAAATGCATGGTAATAATGCTTTATCAGAAGGCTCTTCTTTCAATGAGTTTTATCATGTCAAATTTGGATAATTCATCAAGTGATAAGGTATATATTCTATACGAATGACCATAGTGATGATCATTAATAATGATAATGATAAATATAATGATAATTAATAATACCAATATTATTAATTGTAACTGTAATTATAATGAGTGGTTTTTTTAATATTTTGTTTTAAACTAAATTGTTTTTTTTTGCTGAATATTCGTTTTATATTTATATTTAGTACAAACGAAAAATTTTCTGAGTGGTTTTTTTCCTCCTCCTTTTATTATTTTTACTATTATTATTTTTAAAATCTTCGTTGAAGCTTCCTTTAAATCAACAAAATGTGTTATAGCAATGCTATCTTCACTGATCGCCACAAAAGATTAAGTAATTCATCAATAATTCATCAGAGTTTAGATCCAACAAATAACTGTTAATTATTATTATAATTTATCATTAAATGTTATTTTCGCCAGACAATCGAATTATTTAAAATTCTAAAATTTGTTAGATATGAATTAATTAATAGCAATTAAATGTACTAATGAAAAAATAAGACGACGCCATTAGTTGAATTTAAATGATATTGGTTCAATCGTTTAAACCATTCGTGATAACAGTTAGTCCTTGTATTGCATTGTTTTTAGTTAACTGAAAATTGATTATATTGAAAATTGAATTGATTGATTGAATTGATATCGAAATGGATTATCCATCAAAATACTTTTGAGACGATAAATGCCAATATTTCATTATTTCCAAATGAAGAAGTAATGAAGCAAAATTTTAAATTACTTTAGTATTTAGACCCTCAAACTGCTATTAAAAAACTTAACTTAAAAAACTTTGAAAAAATTTTTCGGACTTTAAGCTCAAAAACTTTATGGGAAATTTAAGAAATCAACACTATATCGTCTGTCCTATAAAATGTAATCTCCAATGGCAAATCATATTTTTCTGTTCTTCGAAAATTTTTCATTTTTTTTCTGCATCATTAAGCAAAATACTTCTATGTTGAAAGGTCTTACGGGGTATTTTAAAGAAAAGGTCCATCGAACCTAACAGCCTAATAGTATCAATTCTGATGGTATGGGCCTTGTTTTTCCTGTATTTATCAAATCAAACATACAACCTCGCTCGTTACAATGTAAATTCAAACGTATGGATATGCTCAGCTTGGTCCTTGTTTAAATAAAATTTTTGGACAAAACTATAGTTTTTATTAAACTAAAACATTTATATTTTATTATGCAGTGTTGATAGTCGATAGCCTTCAATATATCCTTGGTTTGTTTTTCTATCGTTTGCTCATTGAACGATCGAATAAAAGATTGGTTAGTAAGTAAATTATCAACAAAGACTGGAAAACTATTTACTCAATTTTCATTTTTCGTTAGCCTTTCACCACCAAAACTGAGAAAAAACCATATTTCATTCAATAAATTTTTATATTTACCTAAACAAATGGAAAACAAAAAAAGAAATTATAGATTGTATTTTTGTTGGTTCAGTTAAGAGGTTCCATGATTTTTTTTCTCAGCAATATTTTCATCAACTTTATTTTGTTTCAGTAATATTACAAAAATGATATAATAGTTTTAAAATTTATAAGGTGATTTATAGATGAAAATGGGGGGTATAATAAAGGGGTGTATTCAGTGGGTTGTTCTCATTCTGGAACACTGATGCAGATTCTTCGTCCTCGAGAAACAAACTTGTCTTGCAAAAATCCGATCCACCTATATTTCTATCGCAAGATGGCTAAAAAAGTATGGCCAGCCAAACCAGCCAGCTGAGCGAGTCTAATCAAATATGGTTAATGCCATATTTTTTCTTTTAAGGAAAAAAAGCGGAAAAAATTGCGTTCATTTGAGCATATTGTATTTTTAATTTTTTTGAAATTTTTTGATGATTTTTGCATTTGAAGCTATCGTTATCGCTTTTACTATTTGTTGTCAATATTTGCATTGATCATTTATTTTACAACCAGTTGTTTTCGTATTTTCCGCTATTTTTCAGCAGTGAATTCATTGCTATTGATGAATACTGGAAATTATCTCAAGGTGTTTAAAATTTTGTTCTTAATATATAATTTTAGCCAGGAAATCCCTGCTTTGCGATTAAAAATAGATATTTAAATAATTTGCGCGAAACAAGAAAACAAGTAAATCATAAAGAATTTCTGGGGCAAAAATTTTTTTGAGGGAAACCGATAATTCCTCCATTCCACTAGGTGACAGCTGTGATCGCGAATTTCTTTCGCTGTTTAATTTAAGATTAATGAGGTATTATCGTTTTTATCATTTTCTTTGCATAACGGTTAGGCACAAAGTTCAAATTATGAGTAATGAAAGCAATGATGTAATTTTATAATTTATCAATGGATGATACTATTACATATTCATCTGAAATTGCGCGTATTACAAGAGTAAAAAGATGGCTGTTCTGGAACCATTAGTATTTCCAAATGATTCTCTGGCGAGAATGCCTCGCGCTAATAGTCAGAGGATTGAACCATAAATGAAACATGCCAGAAGTTGAAGAGGAATTTCAAAAATGTAAATTTCCAAAAATTGCTTGCATTTTAAGAAAAAAAAGAAAGAAGCATGCAATTTTTATTCACAAGGCTTGTCTTTATTATACATTTTACAAATTTAGAAATTCCCATTTATGTATTCTTGAATCATTAATCTGTAAATTTCACTCAAAAACCTTATATTTTTTCTCTTTTAAATATTATTTATATATACAATAACATTTTTTTTGCCAACTAATAACGAGAAATACGTTTTTAATCAAAACGTGCAGAAATATGCTCACATAAAAGAAAGTTTTTTTCACGGATTTGCCTTACTCAAAATTGCGTTTAATAAAGTTTTACTCCGGCGGGTCGTATCGTATCTTACGATTTATGTATTAGAATAACGCGTTATTATGTTTTTAGACATTTAAAATGCAAACGAAAGAATCGCTTAAATCAAGTGATTCTTCGACTGAATTGGTCGAAACATTGAATTTGCATGAGCCGTTATTAGAGAAAGTCGATGGAAATGAAGATACGCTTGATAAGGACAAATTCTTATCGTGGATTCATGATACAAATGCGAAGTATTTTTTTAATTAAACTGATGAATATGATGGACCACAGTTAATTGTGGATCCAAGTTTTGGATCTAACTGTGGTTCTACAATTTAATTCTTTATAGCTTTTCATTCCACCAGTGGTGAAGATAACATCGAGTCGATCAGTAAGTAAAATGCAAAGAATTTTTTGAAATTAAATTTAATCAGATTAATCATGGATTCAGAAGGTTATATCTAATTGAAATTGCCTTTGTCTGCACATTTATGACCAAACAATATGTATAGCTTATAAGATGAGATGGGAGTTAACCAACCAGACTCATCCAATCATTGAAAATATTTATTTATTTATTTATCCTCAGTTATTTTAATGTGACCAAAGAAGCATTTAAGAATAATCCATGATAAAGCATTTTTTATAATCTTAATGATAATGATATCATTATTAATTTATTATTCGATGAATATTGCAGGCAAGAACTGTTTGCCATGTTCACCTGTTTTTATGCGCTCATAATATTCATTATTGGATTGGTACTTGAACTCTCCAACATATTAGATGATCAGCCATCAATGGCACTAGGAAATTCGAAAGAAATGGAAATTTTTTAAATTTATTCTTTAATTCTCATGTATGTTTTATAAATAATTTATCATAAGTTTAAATAATTTATAATTTATATTTATTTTAAATTTAGGTGTTCAGCATATTTATGTACGGAGGTTCGGTGGCTTTTTTTCTTTACTGCCACGTTGTACTAATGAAATCTCGAATCTCAAGAAATATGGTCAATGGTATACGACGAGCTACAATAAAGTACAGTAAAATTTTATTCGAAGCAAATTTACATCAATAAATTTAAATAATAACTATTGTTGAACGATTTCTGACGAACGTAATTGTCATTTCGGCACGATTTTATTTTATTATAAGATTTATGTGACATTTGCAAGAATATTTCTAAGAAAATGATTTTGCGCCATTATAAAAATATATCAAATGGCATATGACCTGTGAATGAAAATAAAATCTGGAATACGCTGGAAGACCATCCTATTCCCAGACAGTTGAACCAAAGATTTTGAGTGCTATTAGAAGACAAAGAAGAAAAATTGTTTAAAAAAATCGAAAAAAATTTGTGCCTTTTTTTTTCGAACGACGAGAATTTATTGCTGATAACTAATTGAACTCGCCTGAACATGCCATAAAAATTATTTCAAAACCGTCCTATAATTGTTAAGGAAAAAAAAAATTTGCGACAGCGATGATACAACAATATTGCAAAAAAAATGAAGTGGAAGAGGAATTTGCGAAATTCTCTTACAGATCAATGGTACCAATCAGCACACTTTTCAATTCATTTGTTGCTAATGATGCAGTCAGCGATGAAAAATTGCAATATGAGGATACTCAGTCATATCCAACGGGAAGTTTATATATTCGACTTGGTTGCATTGGTGAGAATATGACAAATCTCAAAAAACAACTGCAGTTTCAATAATAAATTTTAAAAAAAATTTAATTAATTAACTGCAGTTTTAATTTGTTCTAGTATTTGGCATATTTGGTGTTGTGAACTACGGTTTGATCTTAACAGTTTGCATCCTCGAAAATCAAACCGGTGGAAATAATTGTAATACTTGCACAATAATTTCTGTTTCACTCGCTATCATATTTATTTTCATTCAAATGCACTTTGTGTTTTGCAATTCAAAAGTTGGTTTCTCTTTATTTTTGAGAAAATAATTTGTGTTCGACATTATTCACCATTTTTCGTGATGCCACCAGAAAGAAGTTCGATTAATATTTTTTTCGGAATTTCGTATTTGCAGTGATTCAGTGTTCTTAATTTTAGCGATAGAGAGAAAGAGTTTTAGATCAAAGTGTATGGCTCAGTGAAAATCGCAAGATTAGGACTGATGCACTTGGTCGCAACTAATTTATGGACATGGATACGTTATATACTCATTGAAGAAAAGACAACAACAACTGAACTTGGTCATGCAAATTTCGGAAGTAATTTAATCAAAATTCTTCATGAAATTGAGAAAAAAGACTATAAAATAATAAAATTTTTACTTTGTGTATATGTGTGCATGTGCGCATATGGCATGTTTCTTCCTTTATGCATCACAACAATACATCGTAAACGACACTTTTTTATCCTTCATACGTTATCGTGTATGAAAATATAAATAATATGAAAATCGTCGTTTCTATTGTATATACATATACATGAAATGAAGAAAATATATAATATACAACACATGTGGCAACTATAAATTTGGTTTTTTTGCTGCACAATAAAGTAGAAATTCGTTCAAAATTGTTGATGGATAGGCAAATTTTGAGAATAAATAATCTTTAAGCTCATTGTATAACAAAGGAAAAACGCGAAAAATTTTGACAAAATATTAAAATTTAACTTTTTAAAACAATTTTCATCAATATATTGCAGATAAATTCGTTGAAACAAAATTTTCGACTCATTATTTTACTTTACCACCGATAGTGTACCGCAACGAATCAGTTCGATGTCGAGATGCGCGATGTGTTATGGGCAATTTCGCCGAACTTATGTATTAAATTAAAGAAAATTTAAATATATTTTTAATGAGAACTTGGCGACATCTAAATTATATAATTTGATGAAAAAATAAAGTCTTGCAAATTGAAAAGTTTGTCGAGAATGGTCGAATTTATTTTTGTTTGTAATCATTTTACCTAAAAAATACCCGAAAATACCAGAAAAAAAGCAGCGATTTCCAATCACTCACTATTGGGGATAGAATGGCTTAGTGGGTTGTTGCTCAATTGGGAGCATCAATGCTGAGGTTCGATTCTCCGCAGGAGTAAACCTGTACAAAAATCCGAGTGATGGTGGCGACTCACCTGTATTTCTATCGCCCCGAACTCCCATTACTCAATGTGACAAGCCAGTGGAGCGAGTTTAACCAATAATGGTGAGAGCTCTCTCATTCACTATTAGATTTAATAATGGAGTAATATTTGTTTAAGGTATACGTGTGTGGTAGAATATGCGCTTATCTGCGCTGGTATGACAATAGTATTTTGGATAAATCTTGCAAAGGGAACGAACGAATATCGAAAGGTTCTTCAAATTTTTTCGCATTTTAACTATAGCTAAATTTAAATTTTTCAGGTTTTTAATTTTAAACTCTAATAAATTCACTGAAATGAATTCTCCAAACCATCATTTTATAGAACGCTTTTAGATCTTTTTTTCAAACCTTTTTAATTTTGCGAAGTTTTAAAAATAATAAAACAAATTTTCGTGATAATCGAGTAATTTTGAATCTTCGATTAATGATTTATTGTTTACTTATTAATTATTCATTGTCCGGTTCCTCGCATGAGTAAACCTATAAAAATCGGGGTGATGCTGGCGACTCACCTGTACTTCTATCGCCAATGGACTTCCTGGCTTATTGTCCAATGCGACAAGCCAGTGGAGCGAGTCTAACCAGTGATGGTGAGGACTCTTTAAAAAAAAATTCATTGTTAGCCGAACTGTTAGCATTTTTTATTATTTTAATAATATTATATTTCGATTTAGTGTATGAATAAAGAAATTTTAATTGCTCATTTCGGAGCACTGTTGTTGAGTTTCTATTCCCCGCAGAGTGAACCTATCCAAAAATCATGTTGACTCACCTTACTTTTGTTGTCCAGTGCGACAAACCAGCGGAGCGAATTTAACCAGTGATGGCGAAGACTCTTTAAAAAGAAATATTGAACCAAATAGATTTTTCGAATGAAAAACGAAATTTTCAATGAAAAAATTTTTCATAAGGCGACTTTTTTCTCTTTTTTCAGCATAAAAGGCATAAACCCGGTATTATTTCGGTGGATTGTTCACGAACTTCGACGGGACTTTTCCTTGGTTTCGCTATTATATCTTTTACACTAATCTGTATTGCAATTTTTAATACATATATCTATCACCATGAATCCGAATTCCTCGCTAATGCTGTGCGGATTTCAGTTTTAATTATTGCTTTTTAATATCCTTAGTCAATTATAAAATTTTTTGGACGATTTCTATTTGAAATTATTTGAGAATTTTCTTGAAGTTGCAAAAATGTTTTGATTAATTGGGTGATCTTGAGCGATTCGAATTATTCGAAAAAGAGAAACGAATTATTAACCTTTTTGAAAACTGCTGAATTTGAGGACGACTGTTTGAATTACAACATTCAACATTTTTCAATATTTTTTTAAACGATGAAAATTTTCAGATTTTCTTTTCGGCTGATGGCATAGTTCTTTTAAGCTCACTTATCGCTATTATTTTTGCATTTTTTCGTTTAAAAGACCTAAATTATAAAAAGAAGAAAGCTGACATTGATGAAAGTAGTGAATTACTTGATCGAATTTTGCTTGTTGTCGGTTTAGTTGGCCAACTAATTTTCAGTATAGGTAAGTTCTGAGTAAATTTTTGCCATTTTTGCTTTTAAAAATTTCATTTTCTCCATTATACGATATTTTTATTAATCTTAGAAATTCTTAGTTTAGGCGGAATTATAAGCCTATTGAATTCAATGAATTTCAATTATATGATTATTGTACTCATTGCTATTCAATTCTTGCGATTTTTTCAAGTTGTTCTCCAATCTGCATTACTTCTTATTGGCTCAAAATTACAGGCAGCCTCGCCTGAATCACAATTTAATAAGCCTGGAAAACAGGTAACTTCTAGAATTAGAATCTACATTATATAAAATTTAAAAATACAAAATTTGTATAGTTATGAAAATATTTTGATTCAAAAAATTTTTTTTTTTGAAAAAAAGCAATTAGAGATTTTGAAAAAAACGGAAATGAAAAAAGAAAAAACGAGATTTGCCGTATATTGCACAGACTCCTTTCAAGAAAGGGAAACCGAGTCTATGACGACTCGGCCATAGTCGAAATTATTCGGCTGTCCTCTCGCTATATATGCATCAGATACATGCAATAAACTTAAATGAATTAAGTAAAAACTTTATTATTAGATGATGAAAAAATAGAGGATCATCTCTATTTCGCTTTTTCGGGGTGGTGGTGGGGGTCCACCAGCATTTTTATTCCTAAGTGCATTTCTGGCAGAATGTAAGTTTAATAGCTCATAAGCCAGAAACTGTGAACTGTGATGGCGGAAAAAGAACGATTTTTCCCATAAAAACGAAAACTCGCATTTAAATTTTGATCTATTATTTCGGATTTTAGAGAATCAAAAACTATTCATTGCCAGTTTCTTACATATTTTTTAACTAGTTACTTTATATTTTTATTTTTTTGTTCATTTGCAGGTGATAACTTTCTTATTGATCTGTAATATAGCACTTTTCATTATGAATACATTCGAAGCACAAAAAGCAGGTGTAACTGAAAATATTGTTCGTTACTTTGGTAGCAAAGCGTGGGCCCTACTCGTACGCGGATGCTCGCCATTAACCATATTTTATCGATTCCATTCATCAGCATGCTTCGCCGAAATATGGAAGCATGCATTTAAATCTGCTTCAGGAGAATTTTAAACCTCATTTTAAGCTACATTTACGGACTATTTAGCAATACCTTATTAATGCCTCGCATTAACATTCTTAAAATTGCTAAAAATCATTAGTTTATTCATTAATGGTACTAGCCACCAGCTCTGCACCAGATTACTGTTTCTAGATAAGCTCCATTGGTTGTTAGAATGAGATGCTTCTGCTAGAGACTTAATCGGCGATAGTCGTACCGATTATGCTTTTTCAATATAACCCGCATTTCATTATTAACGACAGACTTACTCATTCCGCTAGAGGCAAAGGCCGAACCACATAATAATCTAAACAATGCCAAAAAGCTCGACATATTGTTCCATTTAAAAGCTTTTTATAATCTTAAGCATTATTTTTTATTTTAATATTTTATAGTGATTTGCATTAATTAATGTCATAAATAAACGAAAATATTTTTTAATATTTTTCGTTATTATCCAATTTTTTTTGTTTCGAACCTGAATGGAGTAAAAAAGGAAACACGAAATTATTTACATTGGAATGTAATTTTATTGAATGTAAAATCATGAAAAAAAATAGTGCAAAGTAATTATTCATATTTAATAAGTGCAATGCAATTCATATTTTAAAAAATACTAATTTGCATGAATGGCTAAGATTGTAATTACGCGAGCACTTGATGGATCGGTCGGGTTGTCAGTTTGGATGGATAGGTGGATGGATATATTGGATGGATAGATGGGTGATTGATATCGCTCTCATAGAAGTTTGGTCATTCAGTGAGCTTATCAACCCACGCTTTAACGACTTTTTTAAAGTATTTTCCTCCATTCAAGATTACTTCAATTTCCGCCGCTTTTACTCGATTTCCTAATCGATTAGCTCTTTCGATTTACTTTATTACTCTAAAGTATTCTAATGCAGTCGAAGAATCATAATTGCTTTTTCAGTCCTACGCATTTTAGCTTTGAAAATTGATAATACGATAGGCAACTTGTTTAAACTTACTTGCACGCAACAAACTTTCTAGAAGAAAAACCGCTGAGTTCCATTACATATGTATAGATAAAACAAATATGCTGAGGAATTTTTAAATTTTCAGATATATGGCATTGATATAAACAAAACAAATAACTTTCTTTAGAATTGTTTTTGAAGAGATATAAATTAGTAATAGAAGTATGAAAAATTTTGCTTTGTTACATAGCGTATTGTGGTTGATTTGCTGAGGAAGAATTTTTTAAATAAAATTTGTTGAATTAATAATTTTTTCGTTAATACAGCGAAGGAATGCAGAAAACTATAAAAATAATGCTTAATTCGATAAATAAATTTATTTACTGTTTAAATTTATTTACCACGTTGATCCTAGCAAAGGTGGAGAATGGCTCAATGCGTTGCTGCCTTCATTTCAGAGCTCGGATTCTATTCCAGGCTTACTCGCTCTTCGAAAACTTGGCTGTTGCTGGCGATTTAATCGTGCTTCTATTGCCAAGTGACCCTATAGCAAGATTTGGCATACCGACAAGCCGCAGAAACCTGTTTAACCAAAAATAGTAAGCGCTCTTAGAAAGAAAATGTAGAATGGTCGATTATTCATTATTGCGATTATTATTTCGAGCAATTTTTGTTCGGCCTCTGCCTCCAGGTTAAGGGCTTATCTATAAGGTCTGCACTTATTTTCCTAAATCTTATCTCTAATTTTCTTCGTTATAATAAAAATCATTGAAGCAAACCTCCAGAAACTGTCAGAAACTGAGTATTATGCGCTCATTTGTTTCGTCAGTCTTAATATAGAAGTTTGCCATCTCATTAAACTACTTTATGAATAAAAAACTTTGAGGGGGCGCTGAGAATTGCGGATGCAGTGAAGAAAAATATTAGAAGACGAAAACAGCTGTCCCTTTTTTAAAAAACCTAATTGAATTTGCGATGGGCAAAATTAATAGGCACTATAGGCATATTCAACAATGCTTTAAACTTCATATATAAAAAAGTTTCTTTTAATTTTAGGCATTTTTTCTGATTCATTTTTAGATTAAATTTTCACAAATTTATTTATTATTGTTATTGAAAATTTTGATTTCTTCTAATTCTTTGATCGCTAAATTCTAATTTCTAGTTTTTTTCACTTGTTTTGATAAAAATTGATAGTTGTTTTGATAAAAATGTTAAAATTAAAAATGTTTATTGTTTGCTTTCATTTCTAAATTAGAACTTCGAAAAGAGAAAAATATCATTTTCGATAGTTGATTTCATTAAATATTTGTTTAATTTTATTCGTTTTCCGTCTTTTAATTAATGTTTTTAGCTTAAAAATGAATTAAAAATTTCAACAATTTGTATCTCAAAGTGCTTTCTAGATTTCTAGAAAAAAGATTGAAGAAAGAATTATAATTATACGAAACCAACAAATTTGATTTAGAATAAATATAAATTAATAAAGGAATTGATATTGCGAATGTTTTGGAAATTGATTTTTGTTGTAAACTGTATATCAAAAATCATTTATATTGTTGTTATTTGGAAAAAAATAATGATTTCTCTTTTAAATTTTTTTTATAATTTTTTAGGAATGGAATTAAATTTTTTCAAAAATGGGAAAAAAATTAGGCAAAAAAATCGAAAATTTCGAAAAAAATTCTTCGGATTGTAAGTGTTAAAAATAGAAAATTTTTAAAGTTTACACGCAAAAAAATGAACGGAAAATAATTTTAGATAATTATTGTTAATTTAAAAGGAAAGCAATCGGAAGAGATAACAGGAAAAGTTGAAATTGTGTAAAAAAAATTTTTTAAATGATTTTTGTCTTCGATAAAAGTGTTCAGCGACAACGAAAATGACTATGAAATATTTTCGATTCTCAGTTGACTATGAAAATTTTATTATTTATTCGACCATTCACTTTATCATTCATTCAGTTATACATTCAGTTTTTCTCCTAACTTTTCCTTTGCCATGTTTTCTAGTTTTAGTATGATTTCGCAATTGCTTAGCTGTAATTTTTGTGGATTAATCATGAGTGGAACTACAATTTTTCCGAAATTTTTTAAATTCTTAAGAAAATTCATTTATTCAACAACTGCTTTAAGATAAAAATAGTAAAAGGGCAAAAATTTGCGGTTTACGTAAGCACTAAGTTCAATATCTGAATATTTTTTTTGACTTTAATAAGCGATTGCGCACAATATTTTTTTTATCGCTCATCATCAAACTTTTTTCATGAATGAAGCATTTTCGCTTTTAATTTAGTGAATTATTCATTTAATATGGATTTCCGAGAAAAAAGTGCTTTAAAAGAGCTTAAAAATTCGAAATTTTGTAAAGAAATTATTGCATTTCATATTGTCAATTTCGACAATTGAAACGTTAAAATGGATATTTGAAGAATTTATAAGAATTTTATGATTAACTATTTTTGATTTACAATTTTCTTTTCGAATTTGTCAGTAAAATCCATGGAGAATTTCTTATATCTTAAATCATCCTAAATTAGCGACAAAGAAATTTTTTATTCCGTTTAAGGATAAATTCGACTGTTTTTTCGTTATTTTTATCTCTTTTGCTATTAAGCGTTGATATGAAATTGTGAAAACCAATCATGAAAAAATCATATAAAAATAAAAAATTGCTTAAAAAATAAAAAACAAATTCACAAAGTCAACAGTTGAATAAATGTTTAGCGAATTTCACTAAAAATTTTCAAAATTGGTCATATTATATTTAAAAATTCAATTGCACCTGCTGTATTCTAGTGGAACTGTTTTTTTCTACATATTTCCATTCACCTAAACTTTTGAATTATCAAAGTTCATTTGATAAAATTTAAGACATTTTGTATAATTTTGAAATTATTTTCATATTTTTATAAATAAATTTTTTTTATTCATTGTTTCTAATAACTAAAGTTTCCTTAAAGAAGCATTTACGACTGGAAAACGGAGAGAATTGGTTGCATTTGTTTAGATAATAAATTTATACGGTTTTGTTTATGAAAAATTATTTTTATAACTAAATGTGATTGAATATAGTTGGGCGAAATAGCCGAGTGATATTACTTAGTTTATTTCGAGCAATATGTTTCGGTCTTTAAACAAGCGATAAACGAGAAAATCTACGTGGTGCCAGATATTTACTTATGTTTCCATTCCCAAATGAATCACCATCGTGTTGCCCCACTAAAACTGCGCTAATAGCCTAACCAGAAAACTTATCAGTACAAGTGAGCATTCACCTCCGCTTTTGTTCCTAAGTGATTCGTTAGCTCAAATTGCTCACACCAATAGTATGCTAAAGAAAAAATCCAAACTGTTGATAAAAATTAAATTTTGTTGGTTTTTAAACCTCGGAAATTTTCATTAATAATTAATGCTTCTTTTTTTGGCAATTTTATCAAAGAAAATTCATCTTTTTGGCTGAAATTCGCCGGCAAATTCCGATTTTTTTTTACGTGATTGAAATAGTTTTTGGTTTTAATTCGTTTGTGAACGGTTTTCTACTACTACGTCGGTCATTTAAATTCACACCCACTCTCCAAAACACCATCGGTGCAATACATACATACATGTTCGCTAAGATATTTTTACAACCCGCGAGAAGAACGGAAATATTATGACGTCAAATATTAAATATAACGATTCTTTTATTAAACAGGATTCGACGATATTTGATTAAACAATTCATCATTTAGATTTTATATAAAATTTTTTTCTTATTGAAAAACATGAATTTGATTGAGGATTTAATCTGATTAAAACAAATTAATTTGTATTTTTTGAATAATTTTATCGTTTATGAAGAACGCACAATTATTCACTTTTACTTCACAAGATATGTAAAACAAGGAAACTCGAGATTTCGTCCAAATTTTATACAACCACGGTTTTCTGACGACATATGCACCACGCATATATGAAATGGCCTTTTCATCCGCAACTCCTAATTCGCCTTTTCACATTTATGTATTTGGTGCTATAAAATAGAGATGATTTATCATTTCGACCATGCATAGTCTTTACCGGAAGTATTAAAATTGAAGAACCTGATTTTCGATTTTTGCCAAATGTCATAATTTTATCGTGTTACTACTGTTGCAAAATAATAGTTTCATTCAATTCCAAATATGAAATTTTCGTACGAATTGAGAAAAAAATTTTAGATTACAGAATGAAATAGTTTTTTGATTTGCAATAAGATTTTGAAAAACTTTTGTGGGAAAATATTTTTATCTTTAATTTTTTATTTTTATTTTCATATTTTTCCTCGTAGTTTTTTGGTGAATTAAACCTAATTTTTTGAAATATTTTCTTTATTAAACAAAAAACATTAAATTTCCATTTAATCAGTTAGTGATTCGCTATTTTTGGTTAAGCTTCATGGGCCATTAAGACGAGGCAAATCGAGCGTACAAGTGGATGCCCGGATTTTATTTTAGCTACAAGCAATTCAACGAACAAGCACCAATACCTGAAATGGTAATCTAAGCCATTCAACTGCCCATAAATTGCTAAAATAAATTTGTGTAATATAAACTATGAAATTTGAAATTAACAGAATGACGTCTTTCTTGTGAAACAACACGAAATCATTTCTTGTTGGCATTTTCTTCGCGGTTTCATTGTGTTCAATGACAATTTTCAGAACGGAAATCCGTTTTCACCAAAATCGAATTAAATTCCTTTTTCTTCGCTAAATAAGCTATTTTGCAATCTTTTTTTTCGAAATTTTTTATTATTCGATGGTTTAAAGAAAATGAAGTCAAGAAATTTTTAAAATACAATTATAAATCTGTTGGAAAAATTGATTGAATGTTTGCTTAATACGTTTCACATTGTTTTAGAATGCGCAATTGTTCATCGTTACTCCTACGTTTATTCTTTTAAAAATTATCGTATTTTCAATTGGAAAAAAGGGAGAAATAAGCCTTGTCGAAATACATTGCAAGAAAACTAAAAATTTTTGGATAAAAATTTTTTGCAAAAAAATTTCCAATTTTCGTTTCCCATTTTTTCTTTAAGAATTTTAAAATTTCGCGAAATTATTCAATGATTTACATTTTTTTTTCAAATTTTTCTTTGCTTGGCCCCATTTAAATTTTGCACCACAAATCCAATTTTTTTTTGCGAATTTCGGATCGGATTTTTTATTTAAAATTTGTCGGAAATTATGGTTTGAATTGATATAATTATAAATTTTTTTTTAGCTGTGGAAAGGTAGTTTTACAAATTTTTGCCAATTCTTTCTTCCAGTTTTTGCAAAAACATTACTTTAGCACGAATGCAAAAATTTATAGGGGACAAATAAAGTCAGTAGATGCCATATCCATAAAATTTTGTTGCTCACTTTTAATGTCATATCATGTCATTTTGCCGTATCCATTAATGTACCCATTTTTATGATTATGATAAGTTTTTCTGATATTTATCTTCGATTCAAGCCATCACATTTGGATTTCCTTTTATAATGCATATTGTCATTTCTGCCGATCCAAGTTTGCATATTTTATATTTTATTGGAAACACATTTCTCGCTGATTTTGAATAATTCGATCAAATTTTCATCTTTTTTTCAAAAGAAAATAAATTTTAGTTATGATTTTAATTGAAAACCGTTTAAATAATCTTTATTCTTAAATTTGTTTTAAAAAACATCAGCTTTACTCTATTCTATTTTTTTCCAAAGATTAAATTAAGTTATTATTATTTCGACCGAAATTAAGATGGTTTGATCAATAAAAATATATAAAAATATGCTATAAACAAAAATAGTTTTAGTAAAAACTGTAAAAATAACTTTTCCATTTTTTTGCTTATAAAGATAATCCAAAAGGATTTTTTATACGTCCTGACCATTCTTTATGAATTTACTGGGTTTTCATTCTTTGTTGGCTGTCACGAAATAAGTTTATTCAAGCAAAAATTTAATATTTTGAAAAGATTCATGTTCACATTCATCCGATAGTTCTTAATCAGAAATAAAGGAAATTTTAAATTTTAAATTTTATATGCTTCAATTCATAATACGTAAGAAAAATTTATTTTCGTATCTACGAATATAAATTTTTTTCTAAATTTTTTTCACTATTTTGTCTTTTTCTATGCTATTCATAATTACTGATAATTTATTACAGTAATAATGCTCACAAGGATTATAATCAATCCATACACCATAGTAATTATTGTCTTTCTTTTAATTAATTCTTACTAATTAGTTTTTTTCCATTTTTCAGCCATTTGTAATTATAATTTAGTAGTTTTTAATAGTTTTATTTTGTTACATAAAGTTTAATTAGTTCATTATGGTTAGGTGGCATTGGCTGAAGCCAAATCGCCAAATGTTCGATTCGTTGCCCTTGACGAAAGTATGCATAAAATCCAGGTAGCGCTGGAAAATCGCCTAAAGTGCTATTTCCAAATGTTGCTTTTATGGAAGGTTGAATCAATTTTTTTCTATTTTCAGGGATCTAAATATGTTACAAATTTGGCCAATGACTCTTTTTTAAAAAATAATCATTATTTTATTTTATATCATTTAATCATTATCGTTTAAAATTTATCTTCTTTTATTGTTCTAATTCTTCCATTTTCGCATTAATTCGCAAGTCGTCTTTTTCTTGGGTTTTTATGTGCGAGTTCGATTCGAATAATGTCTGATAAAAATGAAATTTCAATAAAGTAAAATGAAAAATATTAATGTTTAATGAACTGAACATTGATAAAGGAAAGAGTAAGAATAAGAGTATGAGTAAGAGTAAGAACTGCTTAGGCTTATTAAATTAACTAATTGATTTGAACAATATTGAATAATACCATATATTATTATTTTTATTCAACAATAAACCATTTCGCTTCAGTTATTTTTTATTAGATTTTCAATAGAAAAACAAGAAGAGATTGGAAAAGGAATTTATTTAATATGCCAGAATGGCAAAACGCCAGCCATAACGAACTTTTTCAAGGATTTCTGAAATGTGTAGTAGAGTACTTAAAAAAGAATTTGAATAGCCGTTTTCACTTCTATTTTATTTTATTGTTAGAGCGTATATTATAAAATTTAATTAGAATAGATTTTATCGAATTCTCGACTTATTTTAAGGAATAGCAAACAACAACACAAAGAGGAACAAAGTGGGTGTTGGCAGTTCTCAAAGCTAACGCCAAAGTCCATATATTTTCAAGAATTGTCTTCGTTTTTCCAATTTTAGCCCCTGGACGAGTTTTCTTTTTAAAAAAAGCACCATTTCATTGTGTTTGCCATCAACTTATCTCATGCCTTCTAACTTTCTAACTCATAAATTATTGAAAAATCTTCATTTTATCATTCATGCCTTCAAAATGTGCTGCGTTTATCAAACTTCGCCTTTTATCGCTATTGCCTCGTTTTGTTTATGCATGCATTTACATATTTATAAATAGCAAGTTTCCAGTGTATATATGTATTTTAATTAAATAACGATTGTTCGCTCGATCAAGTCGCTAAACTGGTTATGAATCTAACTGTCATAATTATTCTCAAAAATCATGTTGTTTATTGCAGTCATTCCCCCCTTCTCTTCCTCCATTTTCCCCAATTCTTATTCATTCTTACAAAAATGATTTACAATGTCATTAAACATCATGGAAAACAAGATTATTTCTATAAATCATTTATTTTATTACACGTTAAATGTTATCGTTTCTATTATCTTTTCGCCATAAAAACGTTTCCGCTCGATTCTTTTAATCAAAACGTTTCCGTTCTACTGATAACTAATAATTTATCATTTTTCATCATTTCATGATTAATTAATTTTATGGCAATGAAACACAAATATTTCGAATAAGAGACTCGCATTTCTCGCATATATATAACCAAACAAAAACCCATTTTGATAAGATTCGATAAAGATATTCTTCGAATCGCTTCGAGATTTTAGCATTCAATCATAATCTCTAAACTCTTCTCGAGGATTGCTTTAAATTACAATCAAAGTTGAAATTCAAATTTCTTCTTCGAGAAAATTGCTAATCGAAAATGCCGAAATTTGCTATTGCTTTATCTCTTTAAGCAATCTCTTTAAAATTTTAAATATTTTTTCATTGACGAACATTTCAAAAAAAAATATTTATCAGTTATTATTAAGGCAAAGAAAATCAAACTAATGTTATTTCTCTGCAAATGTGTCTTAAATATTGACGTCAGCGATTTGTATTAATTGCTTTAACAAAAAATAGATATGTGGTGGTGATTTGTATAAAATTGTATTTTAGGTTCAGTGAGTTTTTTTAAATTTGGAAAATCTGTAGTTTCGCTATTACTATGATATTACACGCCGTGCAATTTAAAGTGCTGCTGCATAATCCTTTAAACTTGAAACATCGAAAAATTGATCGTGGAAAGTGAACAGTTGTTACTTACTTGACCCACATCCTTTGCCTTCAGTCAACTTTTGCCATTTTCTTCGCCTCACTCGCCTTATCATTTTTATTTTCTTCATACTCAAAACATTTCCGTATATTTTTTTTACATTTTATTAGTTCTATTTATTATTTACATTATATTTGGTGGAAATATATTAAAATTATTTTGCATAAAATTGAACGAGTTTTTTTTATAAAACACGTTGTTGATAAAGCATTTTTCCTTGTGTAAAAATGAATTTTCATTAAATTATTAAAATTTTAAGTTCGAATTTAAAGTTTGATGGTCGCTCCACTGAAACCTTCAAAAGGCTTACTTGAAAGGTAAAAAATCTTATAATTTTTTTCGCTACGAATTTGTGGAACGAAAAATAAAATTTAAGCGAATTTTATTGAGCGGCAATAAACAAATCTTTTAACAAATTTTATTTTAACAAATTACCAATTGAACCAATTTTTTGATAATTCGTTACGTTTAATAGAAAGGAAAAAAATAACCCATTTTGATCAAAAAACCTTAAATTCTTTTAAAAACAAATTGTTAAAATGAAAATCCATTGCCTTGAAAACAAATAAAACGAAGGTACATAAAAAAAATGGTTAAATAGGGAAAAAATCATTTTTATAAATTTCTTACTTTTTTCTGGATTATTTTAGCATTAATTTCATGACAGTTTAAGGTGCTTAAGGTTTTTAAGATTTATTTAGCAATCCATTAAATTTTTTCAACGGCGTGGGAATAAATTTAAATTTAACACTAATATAAATTCAATAAATGAATTCACTGGATTTCAGGTGTTATAATTTAATTTAAAAAATTATTTCAATTATAATTACTTATTTATTTCGAATAAAATGAGTAAACAATTAACAGATTTTATAGGAGAGGTTCATCAGCATCATTGACTATCAATTTGGGAATATCTGATAACAGTATTATTGATTTATCACCAATTCAAGAAAAGTAATCATATCATTAAATCATTTTTTTGAAATGACAAAATTCAAAGATTTAAAATTTGAGTTTTGGAACTTTTTTGCTTCACGCCAATTTCTTTTCGATTCGATTCAAATTTCAGTTTGGCCATCGATGATTCTGGATCGAGGAAAAGTCGATTCCTCACACGACATCAGCTAAAGAATTTAAACATAATCGATTCGTTGCCTGAAATTTTTGCAGAATTTGCTGTAAGTTTCTCGAAATATTATTTATTTGCTCTAAATTTCGATAAAAAATGAATATCAAATATAACGATGGCACCAAATAGTAGAATTACACAATTATTATTCAAAATAATAAATCTACTAAATAAACAATGAATAAAAAAATAAACTTGTTAAATAAAAAACGGATAAGAATATAATGAATTCAGACTTAATGCTTTAGTAATGTTGGATGGCTAGCCGCCTTTCTCACATCACACGATTTTTCAGATGTTACCAAATCCGAACATATCGTGTTGTACAAGGATCGCCGGTTGCAGCCAAAAAAATCGTCATCAAGTATGGCCGATTGGTAAAACTCGTGTTCGAATATGGGATAACAATTCGTCAGTGTGTAGCCAGGATACACCAAGATCAACGAATTCACTTATTGACGATGCCAGAAATTATATAAACGCAAACTATATTACGGTAATTTGATAATTTAACTTTCTGAAAAATTATGATCCTGCATAAACGATTATAGCCGATCAGTAAAATTTCACCAAGGAATCCCCGATATTATTGATAATAATTGATAATTAAAATATATAAATAAAATATATTTACATGGTTACTTCAGTGGTACTAGTAACTTATTGATTAATTATTGCTGATTAAACGTTTATTTTCGAAGACAAATTACTTCTCTTAACATGGAGAGCTTTACAACAAATAACAAATTTATTATTATTAATTAGCGTAAACTTGCCAAAATTTATGCGAAATGTGGTAGTCATTTGTTAGTATCACAATGATAAGGTCATAATGATAATTGCAGGATGACAATTTAGTTTCTTCATATATAGCTACTGAAGGACCGATGCCAAATACAATAAACGATTTTTGGGCGATGATTTGGCAGGAAAAATCCATAGCAATTGTCATGATGACAAAATTAGAGGAACAGACATCAAATGATGGACAACCAAAGGTTATTTTTCCATATTAGTGGATGAGAATAAAGGATTCGAGGAACTGACATGATCATATAAATATCCTTTGGCTTGGCCAATCGTTCCTAATGAGAACTTAACAGTGAGCAATTTGGAATTTTGGGTCAACTAAATCTTTCGTGGAATTGGAAAGTTTTCGATTTTCAAGATTTTACGAAATGAACGGATTTCCCTGTAAATCTTTAGAAATTTTCCGTAGAATTATAGCCTCCATATTTCTAAGGTGAATACAACTTGTAGTCAAAATGTGAAAAGTATTGGCCAGAAGAAAAACATCGTTATGGGGCAATAACAGTTGAAGTCGAAAACGTCGATATTGATTGCGGAATAATAGTTCATGAGCTGCTCATAACTGTACGTTCACACTTTATTTCAATACCCAATTTCGAATTTTGGCAACATGGCAACACATAATTCCTCCTTTCTAAACGTCAAATTTCGGTAAAATTCTTATCAGTAAAGTAAATGGAATGATTTGCAGCGTGGTGATGAAGAGCATCGTTTGAGGCATTATTGGTTCACCGAATGGAATGACCACCGTTTACCGATTGGACAAATCAGCAAAATTTTAAAACTTATTCTTGATTTGCATAGCTATCGCGCTGAATGTAGAAAAAAATTCACCCCATTAGGACCAATAACTGTACACTGTAGGTGAGTGATGATTGTTTTGCCTCTACTTTTATATTGTCAGTGTTTCAACTAAGAATTTCTTAAAAAAACAATGGACTTCATGAAAATTACAGTGCCGGAATCGGTAGGACATGTACATTTATTGCTATGCTTTTGGGCATTGAACAACTGAATACTATTCAAGATGGAATCGATATATATGCTATTGTATCAAAATTGAGAATGGAAAGGTGCTTCATTAATTTTATAAGATGTGCTTAGCCTATTTAAAACGATTTTGATTAAGTTTATCATAAAACTATAGAAAGAAAAAGCTACAATTTCTCCCCTAAAGCAAAGAATTTATTATAGATACGGTGCAGTACCTCGACCTGAGCAATACGTTTTTATTTACCTAGCGTTACAACAAATGGAGTGCTTATTACGTGAACCGGAACTTATTAAAAAACGGTTAATAGCAGCAGATGAAGCGTCCCCCTATTTAAAATTACTAATTTCAGGTAGGATTCACCTCTACTACCAGTAACTTCACATCGAAACTGGAGTAAAAAATCATTAGAACCACGTTTCAGGTTAAAAATTTTAGAAAAAAATTATTAACCAATGAAAAAATTGTGCGGCCTGCAATAATTATATCGAAGTATTTCGTTATTATAATTGCATTTTCAAATTGCAACTGCTCAACTGATTCAATGGTGCTTTTGCAGATTTTCGTGAAGACGAAATATTGGATGAAGAGAACGTTGTCGATACAACTGTTCACATATCTTCCAACTGGCTTAATGTAAAGAATTAGTGTTGTTGCAGTGATGCTGCAAATTTCAGTGGTTCAATAATGTAACACCAAAGATTCTCATTATGAGCGTTATTTCATAATAATAGCTCTTATTTTCAGCATTTAATATTACATATTTATTGTTTAATAATCTAAAATTCCTTTCATTGCATATCTGACAATAACTCCTTATGTTAATCTCAAATTGCAAAAAAAAATTACACCGACCATATCGAATGGGATTGCAATAAAAAATCTTGCTCAGCCATATAAAAAATATTAAAAGAAAAGATTTTGCAACCAAAAATCCCCAAATTTACAAAGAGATCAGATTTAAAGAATAGATAAAAGACAATATTATGAACAATATGTCATCATATAAAACCAATCTAAATGCAATAAAAGCTAAAAATTAAAATTTAGAAGCTAAATTTACCAAAAAAATTGAAAAAGAATTGAGCAAATCATTACAACTTAATCATATATCATATCAATCAGTTCAGTTCAATTCAATATTGTATCTTCAGAAAATGATGAACAGATTCTAAATTCTTCCCTGGATAACAATGCATATAACCGTTGAACCGTAGGCCGAGAACCTTGAGAAGGTCTGCGCGCTAAACAGTGCATTGTATAATGTCGCCTATAATAGCAATTTTGCATAAAATTTTTAATTTTAGAATTTTAATAAAATTTTAGAACTTCTGGTTTTAGACCCAATTTAACAAAAATTGACCAAATAACCGAAGTTTAACAAAATGGCTCAATGCGAAGGCAATTTGCAAAATAATATTAATGCGCCTCGATCAAATAAATATTCCAATATGAATGAGAGAGATTTAAAAAAAAAAAAAATTATTTCAGACCCATTATTATGAAAATAGCTGTTTAAACTTTCAAATCAATGATCAGTCATAATCATAATCTCCAAAAACTGATTCTAATGCAGCTTAGAAAATTTAAAGTATTTGCACATAAATCTGCGCATTAGAACGAAAAGAATGCCGAAGCGAGAATAAAATGAAGCGACCATATGAATTCCTGCCTCCTGAAGGCAGTGAACCTGCCAATAAAAGACTGTCACTTATGACTCCCTGGCAAAGAGATTTTATCTTATTAGCCAATGGATTTAAGGAAAGAGGAACAGTAAGTGCCATAACAAAAAACATCGGAAGACTCAGGTAGAAAATAAAAAACCATTCTAATTAAATCAAAAAATATTTGAATTTCTTTTAAAAAACAATCTACATTCTACGTACTTTTTATTGCGAAACTGTTATTTACTTCGAAAAATTAATTAATTTGACCTGACTGGACGGATTTTTTGGTACCTTTCATCTTGCTTCCTTAATGAACTTATTTCTTTTGTTTCACTGAAATATAAATTACAAATTATAGAAAATATGTGCACTGTTTTATACCTACATATTCAGCCACCAAATACAAAACATGAAAAAATTTTCAAAAAAGACCTCGCCATTTATGATTCACTATTACTATTAAAAAATAAAGAAATAAAAAAATATTGAAAGAATTACATTTTTTCTAATGAAGAATCATCATCGGAATCGTTATCACTTCTAAAAAACAAATTCTCCAGAGCAATACTTAAAATACTATTATCGAAAGGTTTTCGATGGATTTTAACGCCTCCACGAACATTTGTTTCATTATTGGGAACCTTGAAATCATTCTCTTCTTGGTCAACTTGAAGTAATGAAACCACAAATTTTCGAACCTCTTCAGTTTTTTCCAAAGGCTAAAAAAATCACCGTGGAAATATTGGATAAAGTGAAATCCATATTGATTCAAAATTTTTGAAAGAAATGAATGAAATTTGAACAAAAGTGTTTACCGGCGATTCCTCGGTATTATTCAACCGTTCCCAAATAGCATTGTATTTCGCAACCGCTGTTTCAGCTTTCTCAAAATCTTGAAGAATATTTATAAGATCGTCAAAGTCCCCACCCTTTGTATAATGGAAAATTTTTGCAGATAATGACAGCAAATTAGTTTCTAACGCTGAAAAAAATTTTTAAATAGTATCTAAAAAATTAATTCAAGAAAACACTTAAATATAAGCATATAGATAAGCGTTTATGCAGTAAGAAAAATCACCATTAAAAAGAACTTCACATTCGTTTACTAGTTGGGCCAATGCACATTTCATTACTACTGGCATAATTAGTCCGATTATATCTGATAAGCAAAAATTACTGAACTCTTCCAGAATCTATATATAGAAAAATATTGATATATTAAAAAAAAATATATATATATGTATATAATTGAATGGCTCAGTGGGTTGTTGCTCAATTTGGAGCGCCGATGCCCCGCAGGAGTAAACCTATACAAAAATCCAAGTGATGCTGGCGACTGTATTTCTACTATCCCCCTGACATATTGCCCAATGTTACAAGCCAATGAAGAGAGTTTAACCAGTAATGGTGAGCACTCTCAAAAAAAATGAATATAATTAGAAAATAGAAAATATTATTTTCACAAAATAATATATATTAAAATCCAATATTCATCAAAAAATAACTGATTCAGCTTCCTTAGTTTCATTAAATAATCGCTTTTGAAGATGAACAGGTATAGCAGTAGCTTCTATCCATGTCTCTGTCCAAGGATTCTCCCCAGTCATTCGACTCGACAAACAACCTGAAAGAATTTCAGCAATACATTTCTCGATAATTCTCTTACTATAAATGAAATTTAGAAAAATCTGTACAAATAACTGTTTAAATAACAGGTTGTACTGAAAAAAGTGGATAAAAGTCAAATTTACCTGAATTTGTAAGGACATCTACTACATAGTCTTTTGGAGAATGCCACCGTATAAAATCCTCAAAGACACAACCAGGGTTAGCAGCCTAAGAATTATTTGTTAAAAATTAGTTCAAATAAATGTTTTCTGAGTCGCTTATGTATCACTCCCTACCTTAAATGCTTGCATATCAGATAGAAGAACATCTAATTGAGCTCTAGACCTTGTTCGTTCATCCAAAGACAATAAATAATTGCTATATTCTTCAAGCATAGCCTCCGTCATAGGACGACGATCCTGAAGAACAAATTTTGAAGTAAATAATGAAAAAAATTTATGGACTTATTTAGATATAATTACTACCACTGTTGACATCATTACCTAAACAGTTATCGTAAATTTTTTGATCAATATCATTTTAAGAACAAATATAAATAAAAACCTGGATAAATGGCTCATAGATCGGTTCGACAGGATTATTTAATAAATATAGCCCCTCGCACTGACATTTGCGTCCTTTTGGAGCAGTGGAATCTGAAGAACTAGAAAATTGCGCATAACTGAACGATTCATTATAGCAACTAGAAATATCCTCATTCTGTTGTTCAACTGCATCGAAAAATTCATCGTCATCAAAATCTTAAAATAATCTAATCAACGAAAATCTAACAATCTAATAATGTTTAAAGACCCAAAAATATTTGCATAGGGCAGTAAAAACTTAAAAATAGAGAAATAAAAATATAATTACCAGTGTTATTCAATATTTGCGAAGGGAAATTTAAGGATTCATAAGTTTTGAAACGTGTGAGTCGAGTATTTATGCAACATTGCAACATCTGCAGCTTTTGATGAAATTCACACGTGGAGAAATTGGGAAATTCATTCGATTTAAAACTAAATGGTAAAGAATTGAGAAAGAAAATGATGAAACTGGTAAATGAATTAAATTTAATTGGAAAAATAACAAAACTAGTGATTAGAAACAATTCTATGAAAACATCAGAAAATAATCTACCCTGGCAATAACAGGTTGTTTTGCCAATAATTTCGCAATTCATCCACAAAAGCACGCCAAAGTTGAGCAAATGCTGTGGTTGAAAACTTATGTAGAGAAAGTGCATGAGTAAGAGCAATTGCTACACGCTCGGTTAAACTACCAGTTGGAGCAGCCTTACAACGATTTATGTGATCCTGTTATCAAAAATTTTAATCAAAAAAAATCTCGGAACAAATTTGTGTTTATATATTTATCGATGTATTATCTATGTTTTTAAATTTTATAATTAATACTAATTGCAATTATAATTGTAATTAATCCAAATTAATAAACTATACCTTACACGTTGCACGTACATTTCGAATATGTTCATTTTCTTCGCATGATAAGTCAACACATGTACCGTATTCTCGAACTGCATTACCTGGAGCATTGTATCCTAATTGAACATCAGCAGATGATACTTGATATTCATTGCACGAAGATTCTTCTCGCTTGAGAAATATGGCATCAATCCAACAAAGTAATTTTCCCTATAATAAATTTCAAAAAAGTAGACAATTGATGCCAGCGATTTATTTATTATAAAATTTTTGATAGAAAATGAAACTGTAACGAACCCCAGTTAGGTAATCAATACCATCGACATCACCACCTATATTCGTTATAGATATTGAAGGTGAAGAAGATATAAGAGGTGAAAATGCATCCAAAGCATTCGTAGAGGAATTGGAATATGGCACTAATTTGGAAACCAACATTTTTCCTTCATCTGATTTTGTGGCATCGACCAACATTTTCAAACATAAATCTGAAATGAAATTTATCTGGAAAAAATGAACAAAATAATTATAAAATGATATTAAAAAGAAAAAATTACGCATGAGACACGGAAATTCCTTAAGAAATGAAGCATTAATTATCCATATTGGTGCTCGAAGAGGACTGATGTTTGACCGATATAGATCTTCGCTAATCCAAGTGTTTTCCGGATATTCAATGCATAAATACATCTCACTGAAAGAACACTTCATGAATTGACATATTTTTGACCTATATTTGTGGTGTTAGTGCAAGTGAAAAATATCAAATATCATAAATCAGTAAAATAGCTCCGACAATACGAATTTAATTTTTAAAAAAGAAAAATATGCCATACTCAAGAACATCCATAGGAGCTCCAAAAGGTAAAGTTGAATTCATCAACAACAAATTTTTCATTGAAATAAAGTCCTCATCATAAGAAAATCTAAAGTGTTTTTTCTTCTTCTTACCACCCTTAAATGCAATAAATGAATCACATTGTTTTCACAAGTATCCGAAACAACGGAAAAGAGTACGAAAAAAAAAAATTTCTATTTTTTAAATTCTATTAAATTTCTAAAATTAACTCCAACTATATAGAATTACATACTTTAAAATTATACACTTCAATTTTTTTTATTAGGAACACAAAAGTTAATAAGAAAGTAAAATCGAAATAAAAATAATATAATGCAAAAAGAACACAAAAATAAAAATACTTTTAGAACGTATTCGAAAAAAACTGATGGAATAACCATATCTTCTTCACAATCCAAAATATTCTGCAATAAAAAACAAGAGCATTGGAAATAATAAAAAATTATTTCAGTTATTCCCTTATCTCTCCATAAATAAAAGTTAATATTTGATAAAGAACCAATAAATATGAAAAAAGTTAATTAATCAAACAATTATCTAATAAAATCCAAAGGATAAAGGAAATCCAAAGACATTACATTAAAAATACATTACCAATTTCTCACAGAAAAGTTTCGTTAATCCTTCTAAATGATTATGAATTGGTAAAGGAGCTCTGAGTTGTGCTGATTCAAATGTTGTTCTGACAGAAGAATTCTGGCATGTACCGAAATAAAGATGTCGATCAGGACCACCATACTGCACAAAAATTGGCAGAGAGCTAAAATAAATTTCGACTAAGAAATTTTAAAAAATTTATTGAATTTAAAATAAAAATTAGATATGTGTATTCAATAGTTTGGCAATAAAAAATAAATCGAACCAGCAAGCAAGTGAACCAATTTTCTATATAATATATAAAATATTATAATTAACTGACCACCGAGAACTGCTCAAAGCAATATTTATCCCAGAGAGAATGGTTTGCAATTGATTTTCATTGATAACTTGATCTATAGATGACTTGTGTGGTGAAAGAAGAAGAAAGTCCAAAACACCAAACTAAAACGAAATATTAGAAGCGTTTACCAGACTTTAAACCAATAAAAAATACAAAATTCAAGGTTAAAATTTTAATTACCTGCGTACAGATAACTGAATAAGGATGAAACAAAGTCTGCCTATAAGCAAGAATTTTTCCAGCGTTTGTATTGTAATCAAACTGATCTGGCGAATCATTAGAATCAGTAGACTCGCTTCTCGCCAAACGAGTAAGATTCGTCGACCAATAATATCTTAAATTTAACGCATTTCGATCACCAAATGCGATTTTTGTTTCTTTTAAATCCCATTTGCAGTTGATCACTTCATCCTGAAAATACCAGTTAAGGAATATCTAAAATTTCTCGAGAATTAAGTCAACGCAAGTCTATGATAGGAGTTCCTTTTCTTCCAGTATTTCGCACTATGGCTTTACTGGCGACTACAATGAGACATTTCCCGATCTGATACCATTCTTCCACAATCTAAGCCCCTCTATGCATTCAAAATCATCTCCGTGTCGATAGAAATCTTGATTTTTATCTTGTTTTAGTGCTCCTCATTTTTAACTCCATCGGTTACAAGGCTTTCCAACTAGCGATATGAATGTTAACTCCTATGATAGATAAAAAGAATACGGTACAATCAGGCCACGCTTTATGGCTTTATGGATATTCACGAGGTTGCCGATATTTGAAATGGTCGGCATGGTAGAAGCTGCCGAAGAAGACTCAAAAAAAATTAACAATTCATCAACATTCATCAGAAATGATTTAATTATTACAAAAATTAAAAAATAAAAACATAAAGTGAAAAATAAAATTATTATATAACCTCTGTGAATGAAAAATCGTTGTCTGAAACTTGATCGAGTTTCCAATCATAAATCGCCGATTCCAAACTAACAGCGAAACGTTCAAGATCAGTTATTACAGTAAAGTCATTAATTTCGAATATTTCGTCATTATTACCGATATCACTACTACTTGCCGCTGTAGTCATTTCGCCTATATATTATTAATATTATTGTTAAACCGACAAATAATTTAATGCAGTAATCGGATAAGCAAGAAACATCGAATTCCGCTGGATGAAAGACTTGCAGTACATTTCAGAACCACAAAGAAGAGAGTCAACCGGGCACCACGTTACCGCTAAGAGAGTTCTTTTCTCAACCTCGGTTAAATCTCGAATGAGAAATGAAAAATATTCGATTAATATCTAATGAAAAGTGAATAAAAAAATTGTATTTATTTAAAAATCTTCTTCTAATTGTTCTTTAAATGCTCACCATTCAAGAATTGATTGTTTCTACTAAATGGAAGCTTTTGGTCCGTTACAAGGAGGCTCATGTGAGTTCAAACCATTTACTTTTTGCAAATAAGACGAGTCAAACCAACGATGTTCGAGTTCAGCTGCACACACTTGAAAATTCCTTCTCGTGGGCAATATGGGCGATCCTTTACCATAAGCCTGGCAGCCTGGAGGCTTCAAAAATCATTCAAACACATTTATAGACCATGAAAAACACACCTCGGTTTTTTCGCAACTTCTTGTGTTTAAGATCGCTGAACCCATTCACTTTCACTCCCCCATACTATATTATATTATGACAAGCAGGTTTAATCATTGTGATCTATTAAATTTCATCGAAATTAATTAAACCATGTTTTCCGTGAAAAAAAGAGAAATTGCACAGAATTCAAATATTCCATATATGAGTTTTAAAAAATTTAACAGCGACACAATTTCTATGATATTAACGAAATACATTTTTGCCATAATTTCTGAATTATGAGCATGTATTTATACATGATTCTATTTTATTTCTTGCATAAGAGTGTAAAACCGAAATATAACAGCAAAAAATTTAATGAACATCGAAGTATAAGGGAGATGTGCTGACGAAACTTTTCGATATTAACACAAATTTTGCAAAATGCATTAGTAAATTGATAAAAAAATTATTTTATAATATCAAAGAGCTATTATAGCGAAAGAGTTCAGAAAACGAAACCAAAGATATGGTGAGAACTAAGAATTTTGGCAAATAGTAGAAAATGGAACGTGATAAAGAATCGAAATAGCGAAATGCAAAAAATGCAATTTCTCTGCTTTTTAAATTAAACAATGTTTTATAAATTAAAGAAGAGATGAAATTTCTTTCATAAAATCTGCGTATGCTTGGTCGGTATCTTTTGCTTCTTTTCGTTGAGCTGATTCTACTTGTACTCCCATCATGTTATACCTAAAATAATAAATCATCATAAAACCTTTAAATCCAAAAAGTTAGGAACAAATTCACGTTTCGTATATAAGAATGAAAATCTTATTATTTTGAAACTTTAAGATTCTGCTAATAAATGGAAAACCAGAAATGAAAAAAGTTTTTATAATTAAATTACAAATTTTTTATAATTACATACTTATTAGGAAAACGCTTTGGTTGTATTTTATTACGATTGACGCGAAGTGATGTCGGCACTAATTTAGTTAATTCTTTTGTGAGATCGCGTAGTTTGGGTTCAGCAGATATTGTGGCTTCGCCATTATTCTTGGAGACTGATGTAGTTGTCGGTTGATCAACAGGACGCCGCACAACAGGTTCAGCAGAAATAACAGAATCACCAGCAGGAGGTCGCATGAAAATAGGAGGTATTCCCGGTCGAGCTAAAAACCAATCGCACAATAATTTACGCAACCATAAAATTTGTACCTTATACACGAAATATTGTTAAACTATCTTACCAAAATGAGGAGGTGGGGGAGGCATACGAAGAGGTAATCGAGGTGGAGGGGGCAACATATTCGGCGGAATAGGAGGAGCACGGATTAAAGACTGGGTAGAGATTTGTGGGGCCAGTACTGGTGCTGTTCTTGTCCTTTCACTTTCAGTGTTATCCTGCTGCATCACCTCCGGAGGAACTGTAATATACACTTATAAATATATACACTTAGAAATACACTTAAGAAAGAAAGAAAATACAAATCTTACAAATCTTTTTAGAAAATTATAAATATTATAAAATCGCGCGAATTCAAAAAAAACTATCATTTAAAGATACTTTCTAAAAGAAAACTAAAATTTTACTTTCGACAGGCCCATAGTCGTCATCCGCTATATCATCACTTTCGACAACTTTCGCGAAATTATCGCTGAACCTTACTCGTCTTCTACCAATAAGATTCTCATCAACATCATCATTATCGTCGACATCTTCATCAAAAAATGATGGTGGGATCCCACAAGGTGGGCCTGGTGGATCGGTTCTTTCAGGACCTTCTCGCACAACATTTCGACTATTTTTGAGTATTCCAGCACGTGCTTGGGGCATGAGGTATTGTGACGGAATACTAGTGGCAGATGGTGTCATTGCTGCATTGGGAGCAGAAGTTCCATCGGGAAGAGGTATTTCCATTGGATTTGTCTCCAATGAGAAACGAAGAGCGTCTAAAAAAAATTCCCATATAATGAAGAAGACTTATTCCATTTCTGAAACAATATATTTTATATTATACGGATTCTTTAGCATTATGCAACAGTTTTGCAAAATCTTTCTGAATCTTTCCTAAGATTTCTCATAATTTCTGGCTGTGCTCGATCTGCTGGCTCATCGAATCAGCAAAATTCGGCCAGTTAAACATTTGGCGATAGAAGTGACAAGACAAATTTGAAAGACTCCTGCCGGGGATAAAATTCCAACATCGATGCTCCGAAATGAAAACAATAATTTAATGAACCAATCCCATTTAAATAATTGGATAGAATGGCTCAGTGGGTTGTTGCTCAAATCGGAGCGCCGATGCCGAAGTTCTATTTTCCGCAGAAGTAAACCTGTAAAAATCCGGATGATGCTGACGACTCACCTGTACTTCTATCGTCAAGGTACTCCCAGGCATATCTGCCCAGTGCGACAAGCCAGCGGAGCGAGTTAAACTTGGTGAGGACTCTTGAAAAAAAAATTTAGGTAATTAGCACAATTACACTTGAAAAACTTAAAATACTTGGATCATCTCAATTTTGATTTGATTTGATTTTGATTTAAAATGAATTCGCGAAATACAGTTAGCGATTTAAATCTTCAAATTCCTATAATTTTTCAAACCATCACTAAAAAAAAAATTAAATTTCACTATATTGCTGCACTTTGCGTGATCGTTCTGCTTCATAGCGCTCCATTTTTTGCTCCAATTCTTTAATTTTATCATCCCTTTTTTCCTGCCTATAAAGATTCATCACTTCACTGTAAGTCTGCTTATATTTTGCCCTTTTCTCATTAAAAACGTATTTGCTGTGATGCTCGACATGAATGTCCAGTTCTAAAAAAATATATAAAGATAAATATATAAATTAAATGTATTAATTCAAAAAATCGAAAAATTTCATTCGATTTCAAAACAAAAAGAAAGTTATTCCGCATCTTTTTTATAAAAGAAAAGAAAATTTTTTTTAAACAAATAATCAAGGAAAATTCAAAAATTAAGTGATTAAGTAAAACTTCTTCGATCAATAAAATATGGTCGTTTCATCAGAATTAGAAAATTAACAATCGAAGGAAAAAAAGCAACAATTTATTTCGAACGAATGATTAAAGAATAAATAAAAGCGAACCTTGATCATCCAAACGTGACAGATTTTCAATGATTTCGTCGATATCCTTACTTTTCAAAATGGCTTGGCGCACCATTATTCGCTGTCGCTTATTTCGTTTCAATTCTTTTTGCCTCATGCTTTTACGTTCTTGATCAGCCGGATTCATAAAACGACCGGATTTCGTCGTGCCACCAGGTCTTCGACCCATTGTCAGTTCCTGCAAATTTTTACGGCATCTTTAAAGTAATGTTGAGAACTAACTAATCAAATATCGGTCGAAATTTAACACAGATAATTTTTGGTTATGTTAAACGAGTCAGCCATAGAACTGCTTGCACTTTTTCTCTCATTCATTTTCCCATTTTCTTCCTGACCGGTGATTTACACCAATTACATATTAAGCGACTCTTTTGCCTATTTCGAATAACAGAAACTTAAAGTTTTTTCCTAATTTTTTTCATGCACTCATAGCCTTACTACTTCAATGTGTTAATGATTAGCGATAGCCAAACAAGTGAAAAGTGTCAAAACACATAACACTCGATAATTGAAGAGTTTAAAAATGATAAAAATGATAAAATGATAAAGAGAGGAAGGTCACTAAATGTCATTATTTCGAACACTTTAATCGAATATTAAATTAAATTAACATTTGAAAAATACCTTGCTATCTTGGTGAGGAATACCCGATATTTAAGATATTTAAGACTCGCTCCATTTAATAGCTATGGTAACATCCTCTTCAGTCCAGCCTACACACCTCTACAGAATACTTCTGAATCTATTGTACCTACTTCGCACCAGCGAGAATCTCATTATTCTTTTTTTAGTTTTCTTATTCCGTTAAAAAAAGTTCTCAACTACTTTATATTCGCTTAACATCCCGATGAACTCCGCAGTTTTACTTTTTTTATCTCATCTCATCTTAAGCCCGTATTCACCTCGCAGCTCCTTAACAGCATCTCACGCTCTAGTACTACTAACCTACCACTGACCAGTACCACTGACTTTATTAAAGTTTCAGCAAACCATGTTAAGATATTTCTCCTTGGCTTTTATTTCTTTTACGATTTTCCTTTTCCAAATTTCCGTTTTATCCTTCCTTTTATCTTTAATTCTCATTCTCATTTCTTCTATCTGCTGTTACTGCGGGTCATTCATAAATCATTCATGATATTGTCAATATCTTTGCAATTTTGAAGAGAACCAACTGAGATAATAATTTGCTCTCTTGAATTCCACTTCAATATTTTTAAGAGCCCTCATCATTACTGGTTAAACTCCTCCGGGGACTTTTCGCGCTAGACAAATATGCCAGGGAAATCTTCGGCGATAGAAATGCAGATGAATCGCCAGTATCGCTTTTTAGAGAGGTCTGCTCGTGCTGGGAGCGGAACGTCAGTGTCGGCGCTCCAGATCCATCAGCAACCCACTGAGCCATTCTACCTCCACTTCAGTTATAACCTTCAATGAGGCTTAATTTAAATTTGCTGTAAAACTGGTTTTTACTAGGTTTATTAAGCAATCAGAACAAAAATTTCTTCGACATTAAGCAATTTATCAAAAAACCAAATCCTTTTGTAAATTAAATACTACCAAATGCATACTGGAATATAAAAAAAGCTTAAAAAAAACCCTCAGACAAACTGTAAAACAAGGATCCAATAAGCCAGACGACCGACCGATTGAACCTGAAAATGAAATCTGATCCGCTAAATAGTGTCACGAATAAAGTACGGCCACAGCGCTATCACTTGGCCCTTCGTTGTTTCGTTGTTACTTCATATATTTAGGGCAAAAATGAGCTCCTCGTGCCTTCTCGTAGTTTAAGCTTTAGTTGTGCGAATTTCAGGGCGTCCTGACTGAGTTCGTAAGGCTGGCAGCGATTTCTCCCAGAATTTCATTTAAATGCGATAATCTAACGAAAATTTTCTGGAATATCTCTAATGTTAATTTAATTTTTCAGTGGATATAAATGAAAGAAGAATTTTCTGATTTTCCTTCAAAAACAGATTAATTCAATATTAATTTTATTTTTGTGAATGTTCGCCGAATAATATTTCCATTTTTATTTCTATTAATAACAACAACAATAAATGATCATTTTCACGTAATAATCCTTCGAATATTATTCGACAATATAAATTGGAATATTAAAATCGGAAACAATTTGATCAATCATCACACAAGCCAGATGCATGGAAAAATTTTGGCAAAATTTTCCTGAAATTTCAGCTGAAATTCATAAACGACAGTTCAAGCGGCAAATATTACATGTGGAAATTATGATGAAAACTAGTAAGAAGGGTTGAGGGACGTTGCTTCAGTGAATCGGCGGCAGTCGCCAGAAGCCTCTCATTAAAGGCAAAGTCTGACTGATGTTGGTGCCCCACTAGCTTCATTAATAAAGGAACCTTAAGAACCTAATAACCACTTGGAAGAACCTAATAGCCAAGCGGAAAATGACGAATTCAATAATTATCGCAAAAATTAATTAATAAAAATTCATTGAAAGTTGTCATAAAATTATTTTCATCCATTTATGGGCTTAAAATGTTTTAATTTAATTTAGTTTAAATGAATTATAAATGAATATACGAATCAAAGGTGAATTTCAGAAGGAAAAATAATATGTAAAACTAGAAAAATTCGATAGTTTTCCATGAAGATCGAATCACAACGTCAGAAACTGTTATATAAACAACACAGTTTGTATACATTTCCAGTGGGACTATTGTGTAAAGAATATGGCACAAGAGCCGGTCGCTCCTTGGTCTCGTTGGGATCCACCCGGTTACTGAATTTTGCTAATTCTTTTTCTCAACTTTATCGAATTATCTTCTTTTAAATCTTTTTTATTTCCAGCAATTATTATTTTAGCTTCATTTTTTTTAAAAAATTCTATTTCATTTTTTTCTAAAATTTTTATTTTTTACTTATTAGCCTAAATTTTATTCCCAGTAAACTTTAGATAATATTTTTTCCATGTTTATTAGAAATTAATCGATATTATATTAAAATAGTTAAGTTATTTATACAAGTTGATTTAAGTTGAATAAGTTTTCGAGAAGTTAAATATTTAATCTCGTTTAGTTAAGTCAACAAATGATTCATAAATTTACTTTTATCCATAAAGTTTTTCCAATAAAGTACCAACTTCATGGTACTTTATTGATTCCAGTTTTTATCATTTACATAGCTGATTCAACGGTTTTATGCGTAAGATTTAAGCAACATTTTTGTCAAAGTTGTACTAAATTTGCAGAATGAATTCGAGTTTTTTCCTAAAATTAGCTTTAGTTTTGCATCGTAGGTTTGTATAAAAAGTATAAAGAGATTTCGAAGCGAAAATCAGTTTTTTGGTCATCGACGGCTTTCACGAGAACAATGGCTCTTTATAATGTCTATTGGCACAATATTGACAATGACATCGGTCATACTTTTTTCGTATATCGCATCGCATCGTAAAAAAAAAAAATGAAATAATATTTTATGATTAGCGATTTATGATTTATGATATGATTTTAAGATAGTTAGTGATTAGTTAGTGATTAAGTAAATAATACTATTATGTCGAAGTGTAAAAAGTAAAAAATTTAGGGAAAGTAGCGCATTATTAAATGTCATTCGTCGTTCTACGACGTACTTTCCGTAATAATTTTGTCACTATTCAAAATTTGGCGTAAAAAATTTTTATTTTCTTGACAAGAGTAAACCTTTTATTAAATGTGAATGGATGATTAAAAACCTTTAATAAGTCTTTATTTAACAGGATATCAACCACTAACAAGTTATGCACCGGATTTCTTTCAAAATGATAATTTTGACGACTCAGGCTTATCACAGACGCGATTCGTTCAAGGCACATTGCTTGAACAAAGACCTTCAGGTAGAATTCCTTATTGAACTTTTCACAAAAATTGTGGTATTATCAAAATCGAGTTTTTGGATCCGTGTCGAAGATATGACTGAATAAAATTTCTAACGAAATGTCTTTTGCTTTTACCTTATTAAGCTTTCCATCGCATATTTCCTTATATTTTCAACTTATAGCTATTAGCGGCTTTGTCGAATGCATTTATGGTTTGCCGAATTCGACAGAAAGAATTATCGAACAATGTTTAAACGAAGTTGGTTGTTGTGCGACTGGTTGTTGTGAAAGTCGAAGATGGTTCGGATTTCTATTTCTTTTTTAAAATTTTTTTTTAAATAAATGGAATTGAAGCTCGATGAAAGCAATAATTAACAATTGTTAGAAACCTAATTCATCTTGGCAATTCATTTTGTCGAGTATGGACAATGCTAATGGAATGGATTTTTTGTCTTTTGGTACAGATAGAAATTCCCAATAAAAAAGGACCGGAAAATATTTCATTAAACATTAATTTCTGTTTGTAGACCAGAATTTAGAATCGAAAATATTAAACACAGCAAAAATTGCAGGATTGATCAATATCGATGGGCCGTGGCTTTAATTGTTATATTTTGTATTTTTGTTGTTATTGCTGTAGTTGTATGGTTCGTAATTTGGTTGATAAATCGATCAAAAGACAAACAATTGAGGCAAAATCTAAGAGAAATGAGTTCCGCTAATTCACAGGTTTACTTATTTTTTTACTTTACTTTTCTTTTTATTTGCCTAAAAAGAATTTTTGAGTTAAAAATTTTGTGATTTTTGCTTTTGGATTAATTTTTTAGGTTTATTTATTAGCTTTTAACTATATATTCTATTATTCGCTTAAAGTTTCATTATTTTCGTTTGTTTTTGGCAGATATTGAGCGAATTCAGGTGAGCTTATCTGGTGTGAAAGATGCTGGATATTACCCATATGTTGGTGGACCGAGATCTCTCTATTAATCGCATAGATCAAGTGATAAACTTGTATATATCGTTTCATCGAATTATATAGCTATTTGGTTTGGTTTTCTTCGATCGTCGTAGTTGTTTCTTCTTTTATAGATTTTTTCAGGATTTTTCATATACTTATTGAATCTAGTTCAGTGATTCATGTTTTGCTATTTTGCTTGTTTTTTTAGTCCTTTATATCGCTTATTTGTAAGTGGTAAAACATTACGACTATGGAAACAGAGAGACAAAATCAGAAAGATTATAAGACAATGGGAAAATGGAAGCAGATGAATTATTGTTGAGGAATAAATGCTGCGATAGGGGGGAAAAATTGGAAAAAAACCCTTTTGACAGATAGCTATCAACTAATGATATTTTTTTTATCAGCACAGTATATAATTCACCAACAAATATGTTGTCAATTCATAGTTCTTTAATGAAACAATTCGTATTTGCATAATTAAATCATTCAAAAATTTGAAATCGAAAATCATAAAAAATTTGAATTTTATGAAAGAAATCTTTTAAAAAATTTGATTTTTATGAAATTCCTTCCGCGTGAAAAAAATTCCATGAGATTTTTATAAATTTTCAGATTTTCCGATATTATTACAGAAAATTCGAAAATTTATTATCGTTTTTCGGAAAATTTCCGATTCATATATTATCAATAAAATTTAAAACAAAATTTATAACTACAAATATTTATTACGATTAGTTGTATTTACAGAAAAATAAAACAAGCTAATTCAAAATTAGCCACCGTAATTCGTACTTCAAATGAGAAAAACTTGTCGGTTCTTTAAAGATAATTTGAAGATCAATATGAGAGAAAACTGGTATTTGAGTAAACTGCATAAATGTGACAATTTATAAATAAAGCTGAACAGCTTTTTTTAGCACTAAAATCTTCTGAATACCTATGGCTAAATAATAGGCAAATAACTGAAATTCAGTTGGCATTATTTTCGTTATCCATTATTGACATCATAGAAGGAATATTAATAATTATTCCTCAAATACGAAATTTATTCAATTTCTAATGATTTTTATCGAATTAAACAGACATTAATTAAAAAATAACAAAATACGATCATCAAATGCAAATATATAATATATAAGGAGTTAAAGTAATAATAATATGACTACTCGCGATAAGACTCGTATCATCCATAGATCAGTATGATTATCAAAATGCCTTAAAAAAATACCCAATATGGAACAAAAATGAAAGAAAATGTATTAAGACAAGCATTGTTGCATCGAAGCACCACTTAATCAGAAATAAACTATGCAAAATGGAAGAGTTTTTTTTGATAAATATTTAACAGGAATGTTCAACAGACACTGTTTATTTGTACAACTGCTGAAGGAAGAGGAAAAAAATCATATATAAGGATTTGTCATTTTCTGTTGTATAAGTTAAAACTAAAGAAATTTTCTAACCATCGAGATTTATTTGAATAAAAGACAATTAATGAAATTTGTTAATTTACTAATTTGCAAAAGAATTCTGCAAGAATTTTTCCAGGAAAGAAAATTCCAGCAAGAAAAATTTTAATTTTAAAGAAAAATTAAGTGAATAAATAGCACTCGCGATTTCTGTTTAGATTCCATTGGTTATTTAAAAATTTCACCAGAGATAATTTCACCAGAGGATTATTTCGTAATAGGAGTTGAAATAGCTCTTAGTACCAACCGCATTTTTAAGGGTAGTTTAACAATGAGCTAGGGCCAAAACCCCGTGGCTGCATTCAATAATCTGGGCAAAACTTTTTCGGTCATATAGCCATCAGAAAGATAAGTAAAAGAGATTCATTCTTTTCAAATAATTTTCGGTTAAAATACTTATATTTTATTTATAGGCGAAATTATAGTATCATAAAATGATATTTCCAAGAGTAAATAAAATGGCGACAATGTATTTCTGAAACAACGAAAGCAGTATGAAATTGAGCGATATTTCTATGCAATATCCATGGAATCATCTTCGAATGATCGACGATCTTCTATAGGTGATAGGGGCAAATTCGATCCACTTGTAATATTGTGATTCACTTGTGTGATATGATAATTCTAGAAAAACGTTTCAGAACGAAAATTACTTTACTTCCTTAAAAAAATTATTCACTAATTTTTCGCATATATTATTAGAGTTTAATGAATAATGAATGAAAAAATATGAAAAAAAATCGGCGAAAAGTTGAAAAATGCAAAAAAACCTGTTGTTGCAGAAGTTGAATTCTCGCTTTTATTTGCTTTTGTTTCAATTTTGCTTTGAGAACATTTTTCGCTTCTGATATCGAATTCATATCGCCAGCAACTCCCAAGCGTTTTTCAATGTAAATGCTTTGCTTTATATTTAAGAATTTCTGTGGTTGGAATTCTAAATTTTCTGGAAGTGCTAGTTTCTTCGATGAAGTTCCTAGAATACTATGATTAGCCTCTGCCGTTATCAATGGTGTTATTTGCATATTTTGAAGTTGAACTCCGACATTACTCGTCGATGGTTGTCTGAAATTGAATACATAAGCTTATAAATTTAAAAGTCGAAACGTTTAGATCCGACAATAGTTTTACAAATTATCATGCAAATTATCAAATTATCATGTAAGTTTTGCAAATAGAAATTTACGCCTCATGAGTTTGGATCTGTTTCATTGCTTCACTCTTTCTTGAGAGTTGTACAGTGGGAAATGGCTCATGAAAAACGGAATTGTCGCTAGCTCTCCAACCAAAACCAAACGTTGTACACTGTGAGCTCGTGAGTAAGATTTGTTCAGAATCTTCCGAGTTCCTTAATTTTTGGTAGTTTTCTAATAAGGATGTATTTGCACCATAAAAACCTGAAAAATATAATTTAATGTGCATTATAGCAAAAAAAAGGTTAATTTATTAAAAATTCATAAAATAGTTTAAATGAAGATTAACACCTATTATTTAAAATTGAGATCTTTTCCATGGAACTCTTTTTCTCACAAAACACCCACCATTTCTTTATTCTTTGACTGCCTCTACTATATGATACGACCTTTTTGTCAGAGAAATGAACGCATTCGCACAGATGGATCCATCTGGATTTCATTTTCAGTGATATGTAGATAATGAATGATTCTTATCAAGTGGAGGGGATTAAAACCATGGCTCTTGGTCTTAAACGAGGAATACTACTCGATCACCATACCTTTTTCTAAAGTTCCACTATAAAATGCCACTGCAAAAATCTTTTTTACTCAAAGATGGCTGATGAAAACAATGATAAAAAATGGCTAAATATACGAAAATAACTTTCGTTATGAATTATAAATCATAAAATACCCGAACTGTGACAAGAAGATATGCTCGACATTATGTCAGATTCAATTTGTGAATCAAATGACTCAAATGGTGATGGAGAGGAGACAATCGAATCACTGGAGGGCAATTTGCCAGAACGACAAATGATTTGTGATGTATTTGATGACTGCAAATCGTCTTCAACGCCTTCATCTATTGAAGCAATTTTGCCAATTTTTGATGGCTTAATCAGTTCTTTTGATTCATCCAAACTAGTAGATTCTGTTCTTTGAAAACTTTTATGATCACGTAGAGCACGTAAAGGAGATTTGCAACGTGTTATTTCACTTTGGCGTTTCAGTGTACGTAAATCAGCGTGCATTGAAGATGACCGCCAACGATCAAGAAGTAACATATAAATAGCCATAAAATTGTCATATGACTTGTTCTTTAACGACTATAATAGAAAATTATTAGGCATCAAAACAGTTGCTCACTTTCATACATCCTTTTTATATGTTACAATTTTAATAATGATAATTTTTGATAGTTAGCTTTAATCATTTTATAAAAAATATCAGTTTATTTGAAAATTTTCCATTTTTTTAATTTATAAATCAGATTAAAAATAGAGATTGATCAGACAATTATTGCGTTAAATAATAAAATTAAATAATAATCAACAAGTTTTTGGAAAAATTGGAATAATTTCACAAGGCATTATAGGTATAGGATGGCTCAGTGAGTTGTGCTCAGTTCGGAACGCCGATGTCAAGGTTCTATTTTCAGCAGGAGTAAACCTGTCCAAAAATCCGAGCGATGCTGGCAACTCACCTGTATTTCTATCGCCATGGGGTTCCTTAACATATTTATCCGGTGCGACAAGCCAGCGGAACGAGTTTAACCAGTAATGGTGGAGGCTCAAAAATATATATTACTATATATAGTTCTCTGGTCTAATTAATATATTGGATTAATTAAAAAATTTTAAGGAGGTGAACGAATCAATAATGAACCTGAACTGTTCTATTGGAATCAATTCCAAGATTATGCATCAGTTTCAGGATTTGCTGCTGCGGTTCACTTTTATTTATAACTGATTTTACTTCTTGTGTTAAATTATGTTGCACAAGCGGTGCCATCCATCTGTGTTTGCGAATTTGCTCAATTGTCGCTCTTTTATTTGGATCCATTGTTAACATACGGCGAATCAAATTTTCACAGTCTGAAAGTTTTCTAACGTGGTTTTTCGACCGCTAAATGAGCTATTTATTTGTTTAAGTTAACTTGATCTATTTTAAAGAAATGTATTTCTTTTATGGCAAAAAAATTATGCATCAATTGGAAGAACCATTAATACTAAAACTAACCAGTTGACATAAAATAAGGAACTCGAAATCTTCCACTAAGTACTTGATCTCTTAACACTTGCAAATTCGGACCATCGAAAGGAAGAACGCCACATATCAATACGTAAAGAACAACACCAAGGCTCTAAATCAAAATTTGCCATTTTTCATCAATATGTTTAGCATAAAATCCACTAAAAGTTAAAAAAATCTGCCTAAAGTTTTTCACTAGTTTGAAAAAAATAATTGATATTTTACTGTTCCTATTTGAATAAAAGAGATTTACTTGCCCAAATATCAATTTCTGGACCTAAATAACGTTTTCCTTCAAATACTTCCGGAGCAGCATATGGCGGAGATCCACAAAATGTGTTAAGTGTATCAGATTTGCTAAAAAAATTACTGAAACCAAAATCAGCAATTTTTATGTTCATATTTGCATCAAGCAATAAGTTTTCAGCCTGCAAAGCCGATGAAAAATAAAAATACACTAAGAAATTGCAAACTTTTTTCTATTGCAAAATCGGTAATATTAGGTCATCCTAAAAGTTCTCGCCATTTCTGATATCTGGCTTTAGGACCGCACATTTTTGTTACCCTCATTTCTTTTTATTGCAACAAAAGCAAAAAATGATTTTTTTTGATTAATTGGGTTAATTAGATCTGACATGCAACAAAATAATTTTTGAACTATGGCTGTTCATGAGTTTAAACTGGGGCATCGAATTCGCAATAAAAATAGCTTTTGGTGACGATAAATCTAAAAAAAGGGCAACAGAAGATAGGTTCGTTCAGTACCGCAGATATGGGTTTTGGGTTTCGAAAATACCTCACTTTGGTTCTCAGATTCTCTGGATCGGATCGCTAAATTAGAGACCGAATATAGGTGGATCTCTGAAGGAATTGGGATGATCTCTCCTTTTTCCTCTAGCCATTGGTTCGCTCCACAGACAACGAGAATTCCCAAGACTCCAGTTTCGGTGCCAATCCTGAAAATAACTGAAGCCATTCGCTTTTCTACTGCTTAAGCTTCTATTACTGCGCTGATTACAGCCGTATCAGAATTAGGCAGTAAAGAATTGGAAATAGCTTATGAAGAATAACAAACAATGCAACCAATACTGACAAACAAAACAAATCATTCTGCACGACAACATTAGACCGAGAGAACAATCTGTAAAAATTTGCCGAATTGAACATCGTCCATTACTCTCTTATCCATCATATTCCCCTACCTCCTTCTCTATCGCTTCTTCCAAATTCCTTAGGAAGAAATACGTCAAAAACAAACTTTGAAAAATGTCTTCCAGCAGTTCGCTGATTCCAAAAGTTCGAACTTTAATGCAGATGTGATGAGTGCAATTGTTTCATGTGTGCAATTGTAGTGGTGTTTATTTTGAACAAAAATAAAATTGTTATTGGTCTTACAAGGCAAATAAAATAAAACGACGAGAAATTTTAGGATTATCCAATATTTACATTTCTCTTTTATTTTATAAGAATTTTCTTTTCCTTCCATGTTATTTGGCAAATATAATATTTCAAAGTTATAAGCAAAGTAAAACCTAAATCGATTCTGAAAAATATCTTAAACCTTAAGATCGCGGTGTACGATATTTCGTTGATGACAGTATTCGACTGCTGAAATTATTTGAGCGAATTTTACCCGAGCATTTGGTTCAGACAATCGTTTTTGCTTCGCAATTTCGTCTAAAATAAAGCGATTCGAGTGATTTACTACATGAGTAAAGAGCAGTAAAAGCGAAATTTACAGGGCTCGCAAAGTTTTCACCTATTAACTCGTAGTCTTATGCCTTATTCTGAAGCGAGTCGTAGGTTTATTAGCAAATCCGTCGATTTTCCGCTTTCCTTATTCTCACCAAGTAGCATATTTCAATCAAATAAAAAAACTTTATAATTATTATTCAAAAATGCCTTCAAAAGCTGCAAATAATGACTATGAAAATATTGAAACTTTTCTATTTCAATAGAACATTGGGTATTTACCGAAAATTTCTCCATTTGGTGCATATTCGGTAACTAAATATAACATATTTTTCGTTTCCATCACCTATAAATATTTTATAATATTTTATATAAATATTTAATTTGTCAAAAATCATTGTCAAAAGAATTTTATTATTTTATTGCTGTTATTAAAATGTTTAATATTAATAATATTAACTAATCGGTTTCTATCGGTTTTTTTTTAAAGAGCTCTCACCAAAACTCGCTCTGCTAGCTTGTCGCTGGACAGATGTGCCAGGAAGCCCCTTGGCGATAGAAAATACAGATGATTGGCTAGTATCACCCAAATTTTTGGACAGGTTTACTCCTGCGGAAAATAGAACCTTAGTGTATCGGTGCTCCGAATTGAGCAACAACCACTAAGCCATTCTATTATTAAAATGTTCAGTATTATTGATATTAATCACTTTCTTAAAATTATCCAAATAAATTTTAAACTTTTAAAATTTCTTCTTAGTTTTTGAATATTTCATGATTTCTCCCATTTTTTACAAGAAAAGATGGAGACGGGAAGTTATAAAGGGAAAAATTAAGCGAAAAACAAGACTTTGAAATGCGAATGCCATCGACAATTTGACATTAACAAGGATTTCGATTTTAATCAGTTTTATGGAATTTTATGTTTAATTTTAATCGATGAACGCGATTTATTTTATCTGTTTATTTACTAATTTACATACAAATTCAAATTTATGACATAATAAAAATAAAAATTCCATAGAAACAACAACAATAAAATTAGTTAAATTTTTGAAAAAATCCATCAAAAAAATGAAATAATATAATTAATTAATGCCTTTATTTTTTGTTGACTTTGTTATTTCCTAATGAGTGAAGATTTTTGTTGAAATCCATTACTATAGTGAAATTTAGTGAATTTTATTCTATTTTTTCCAACCTCTCTAATTATTAGTCGTATTTGCCATATCATCCACATCTTTATTTTCTTAGCAGTGCTTTCCCATTTCTAGTGAAATTCGACTAGTGGAATTGATTGCCTTGGACGAGGCCCTTTCGCTAGTCCATTATTTTCACATAGTAATAGGGATGAGCCCTCCACTTCATTTTGATAGCTGTCGCCAAGAGGCAAAAATGAAATTCTAGTGGAATATTTTATTGTCTACTAAATGCACCGATTCGAATCGGTAAAAATTTAAAATTGAAAACATTTCATCCAATTTGAATAAAAAATTACAAAAGATAAAATTAAAAATTAAAAGATACTCAATGAAAAGAAATTAAAATTTATTTAGATTTAAGAATTGCCGAAAAAACCATTCTGATATGATTTAAAAGCACAGCGTTAGAAATGCAAAAAGCCATTAGTATTATAGTCAGTTAATTTATAAATTTAAAATTTAACAAATTTAAAAAAGTGAGCTAATTAACAAACTTGATAAAGTTTGATGATATTTGGATGGTCCAATTTTTTAAGCACTTCGATTTCTCGATAAACTTTTGTGAGATTTACATTATCCAAGCGAGTTTTGTCGACAATTTTTATTGCGACCTGAATACTCTTCATTAAAATTATATAAAACTATTGCATTACTAAAATTATATAATTATATTGAAATTATATTTATGTGAGGAAAAGGAAATCTATGTATTTGTTATGTATTATTTTTTTAACTTTAATAAACTTTTTATTTTATCAGCAATTTTTTAAGTTAAAATGACCAAAAATTTAAATTATTCAATTATTAATTAATATTTATTGGAAACATATGGAAATAAAAAAGTATAATTCAAAATTGCTGATTTAATTACTTGTAAAAAAGAAGATAAAATTCAGAATTAGGAAAGCTTAATTGGGTTTATAAATTCCACGACTGACACGAAGGATAATTAAGAAAAACAGATAAGTGATTTTCTCGAGGGCTTATGAAAAAAAACAAAGTCTTTTACTCAAAAGTTTTTCTCTCAAAGTTTTTAGTAATCTCATCTAATCGCTAAGAAATAATCATTAAGGAAGATTTTAAAGAAATAAAAATTTTCATAAATATAACCTCTCTATTCTCCGCGAAATCTCTTTTTAAAATTACAATTTTTGGCGAGTTTCATATATTATTTGACGATAAAAATTTCCCACTCTTTATGATGAATTACTTAAATTTATAATAATAAAAAAGGTTTCAAATAACTTTGAAGAAATTCGCAACAATTGTTCAATGCTTTCTTAAACCTTTAGTAATGAATTTAACATTTTACTTTATCAATGATAATTCCGATAATATTTCGAGTCTCTAAGGTAAATAATAAATTTTCATGAAGGCAGAGAGTATTTTGATATTATTCGGCCTCTCTCTAGCAGAAATAGTCTTATAATTTAAAAAATCCTTTTCTGGCTGGTCTTGGTCTTAGCCTCCCGGCTAACCAAATTAAGCCGTCTAAGTGAGCGACTCATTTGAAGCCTCACTGGCTATTAAAATGAAACTATTATTGCGATGAGAAATTTTAAATTACGAATCACTTGAAGAACTCACTCGATCCCAATGTATGGATTTTTTAAATTATAAAGTTATTTCTGCTGGCAATAGAAGTCGAATAACATAAACGAAGTGCATGCATCAGCGGAACTGCTCCAAATGCAACAATGATTTACGTTAAACGACTCGCTAAATTTTTAATTTATCGCTAAGTTTTAGCATTTATGTTGGCTGAGAAAATTTAAAAGTGGATCACAAGCAAAACCAAATTATAAATAAATTCCATTTGAAGAAAATTATTTAAATGCATTTCATTATCATCTAAATTATTAAGGAAAAAAAGTTCTCAAAGGATTTGAAGAATCGAAGAAAAAGTCGCAAAGAATCGCTTAATTAATAAATACTCGTAAAAAAAGTGCTCATCACGCAAATTTCATCGAAAATTCCATTTTATAAAATTTTTAAGACAACGATAATATCGAAAGATCAAATTGAAAATTTCTCATGAATGTAAGTTAAATTAACAACAAAATTGTCTCAATTACGTTCCTTTTTTTCGTATGAAACAAAATTTGATTTTAAAATTTTGTTGAAAAAAGTGGCTCAGAATTTTTGAAAATATATTCTTAAACATATTTTTTTCCATTTTTTCAATTCGCTTGTAATTTTAGCATATAAATTTATAAATTTCCTTATTTATTTCCTTATTTTATATTTTTTTGAAAAAATTTTATAAATAATAAAGTTTAAATCAAATTTCGATGTTTTTAAATGAATTGCAGTGAACAAATAGAATTATTGGAAATTTTATATTTTTGCTTCTTTTTTTCATTAATCAAATAGGTGTTTAGCTTCGTTGCAAAACAGTTTTCTGTTCTCTTCAAGAGAAAAGAATAAAAATTTTTCTAAACATAACACACTTATCAATAAAAAAGATTCATTTGATGGATAATAGATTTGTAGTTAGAATATTAAAAAAAAAAAAACTTGAAGAAAGAATATATCTTCCAGAAAAGAAAAAATCAAAAAAAAAGTTGAAATTATAAGATTGCAATGAAACGAATTCAGTTTTTTGGTTGTTTCTACTGATTTTTATGATGATTTTCTTTGCTTTTATAAGTGCTAAAATTTTATGGCAATGTTGGTGCAACCTGGAAAAAAAACTAATATAAGAATAAACGCTGTAGAACATCAATTCCTATCGAAAAGATTCGTGAGTTATTTGTCGTTGTTATTGTTTAAACACGACAAGATAGTTTTTTTTAGTGGATCATGGATCACAAAACGCAAAGAAATACCAAAAGAGATATAAAAGATTTACTGAAATAACTTTCGGAAGACATCTCGCAGGATTTCATTAAAAATTTCATTTTTTCATGGAATTTTTGACAAAGTAATGCAACAAATGGCATATAATATATTAAATTTTCGATAGAAGACGAAATAAGCTTTTCCAATTTTTTTCAAATTCATTTTTCGGCAAAAAATTCTGCCGTTTAGAGTGGATTTTTATCAAAGTTTATGCAATCTAATAGATTTACGCATTATTTTCACGACACAAATGTTTTTTGCTAAATTTTTCGTCTAAATATAAATCGGTCTAAGTTAAAACGGAAAAAAAGAATTTACCTCAGTCTTAGTGATGCGATGCTTTGCAAGTTTAACGAGAGCGAAATTCCCTTTACCGATAGTTGATTCGATTTCGTAAAAACCTATTTTAACGGTATGATTTGATGATTTTACAGCACTGGCGAGATTTGGCTGTGGCTGAGCATAAGAAAATGAATTATTTACCATTGTAATGCCAGAAGCTGAGAAATGTATAAATAATGAAGAATGTAAATAATAATAGTAGTTAGGCGGAGAGATTTAGCAGATAGGCATAGGACAATTTGCTCGATAGTAAGCAAATGCTGGTAGAATGAATGGAATCGAAATTTTGGGAAGAAAGTCAGCCTAACTCAAACTCAGCAAATATCCTTCGCTTTAGTCGATCGTTAGTGATTCTATTAAGTTGCCGATGAATGCCGCCATAGCTTTTTTTGCATTTTGTGACGCAAATATTAACTATCGTCATCAACTATCTCAGCTCCTCCTCTTCGAAGTATCTGCGTACTTCATAAAATTAAGTCAACATTCATTAAACAATCTAATTTTTCATGACGAACCTCATTTGAACCTCATCGATCTATTTGTGCCGTTTTACATACAAACGGTTTTTGAAAGAGGAGAGGACATTTCATGAAGTTGAAACAATTTCTAATGCCTTTTGAACTTTGAACTTTTCGAATTTTTCAGAATTTTTCCTTCTATTTCGGTGGTGAAATCCTGTTTTCATCAGTTCCATTCTTTTCCTTGTTGAGGAGGTAACTAATTCGTTGGATTTCTTCGTTGTATTTGGTCGAAAAGCTTGTGGACTGAAATGCGAGAAGATTCTGAAAATGATTGGATTTTTTCCTGGAAAGTTGCTACATTCAACAAAAAATCTATCTATTCATTATCTATCCATAAATCTATGTAAAAATCTATTTCTGCGATTAAGCAACATTAAAATCAAACTATTTATAGGATTAAATATAAAATTATAAAATTTAATTTCCTATTAAAAAAACCGACTTTATTGCATTTTAAAATGCTTAATTTTATGCTTTTGTTTCGCTTGCAATTTTATAATTCTGCGCAATGTCATTAATGATTATCAGTGACGCAATCAGTTAAGTAAAAGCCAATGCCATTCTATTCATTTTCTTGCTTTAAATCTTTTATATTCATATTCTTAAGAATATCAAGAAAAAGAATAAGAATTAAGAAGTTTCATCGATATTCGTAAAGTAATAATTCAACATAGCAGCCAGCCACATTGCAAATTCTATGCATATTTCATTTTCGAGTTTTTTCAATTTTAATATTATTTCATAGCAATAAGTTTTATAAAAATTGGATAAATTCATCGATTTTTCACAACACCCTCCTTTTCCTCACCACTTATTATTGTAAGCGATCTTGTAGCCAAAGAGAGTTATTAGGAAGAGGTATGCTCAACGCCATCTCGATTTGGCTGTCACTTAATGCAGTCTTGTGCAGGACCGAATCGCCATGTGTTTTTAATACATGTGATATAAATTTCGAAATAATTTCAGTTTCATTATTAGAATGATTTGGAAAATGGAACTTCCTAAAACGGATGGATTCCCCATCGTTATGCCATTCGCAAATCACCTTAAGTTTCATCGAAATGTTTGGCATGGATTGGTTAAATTTTCTTTTAATTTCTATTTAGCAACTATTGAGCAAATAATTCCTTATAATCGAGGCCTATGCTTAATTTAAGGGTTTTTGCTGAGTGTGATTCCACTTTTTTGCACCATATTCATCGAGGTTGTCAGCTATAATTACTTTAAGAAACACAAATTGTTATTCATATAATAGGATGACGTAAATATTATTACATAACAAATAGCTGACGTCGATTCTTGATAATACGACAATTACTGAAATGTTGTATTTGTCCGATATCGAATCCGGAAATTTTTCTCTAATACTTTGTAAACAAATGGTATAAGTACTTATTTACTTATTTATTAATGCAAATTTTCTTTGCTGTTCTTTGCTGCAAATCGATTCCAAAAACGAGAGTATTACCAATGAGAAATTTATGCGTGCTTCATCACTAAATGATTTTTTTAGTAGATGAAAAATGGCTGCAATTTCATAAAAATCTTTGCTTCGGAAAAAAAAATGCAGGAAACAAGGACTAAAATCTTATAAATTGTTGGATGCAATCAACTTACTTGAGATGAATGAAAAAAGAAATTAATAAGATCTAAATGGTCCAAGTGACGATGGCGACTCGTTTGTACTCCTATCGTCGCTAAAGGTTATTTTTTGAATTTGTCGTTTAAAAGATAAGCTAGCCAGAAAAGGAGATGGCGCAGAGAGCAACAAAAGTAAGTTCATTCGCTAAATCATGCAAGATAAGCCTAAAAGTTTTGTTCAATCCTATTAGCAGTCCGAAAACCAAAGTTTAGATCAAATTATTCAAATTATCAAATTATTAAATTATTAATTTTGAATCGTCTGAAGACAAAGGAGACAAAACTGCTTATGTCAATTTGCTTCAATAATTTTTACGATTTCTAGAAATGAAATGGCCAGATAATAGAATTAATGAATTCTGAGATAACTTGAAGATGAAAGGCTTTGGCTCAACTTGAGGTTTTTATCATTTATTAACTTCTTGTCCAGGAAAGTCAAAAATAATGATTATTAATAGAATTTTTAGTTCTCATTTACTCAGTTAATTTTTCAGATTTTTCTTCCACGAATTGGATTCCTAGTTTTTCCATGAATATTCAGCCATCATAAAATTATACTATTTAAGAGTGAGGAATTTTTGGTAATTTATGGCGAATTTAACTGAAAATGCAAGACGATAACACCTTTTTTATCAGTCTAAGGTCATTTCTGTAGTTTATAGCATTAAACTAATGGTTTTTAATTTTCGCCAGTTCCTATAACTTAATTCGGCTTCTAAATATATTTGCCAAAGCATTTTAATAGATCAATCAAGTGCTTCATGAGTTAAAATGGAAGGGGAAGGGACGTCATTTATTTATCCAACTGACGTCGGAAACACAAAATCAATGAAGATTTGATGATTATGACGAAAGATGTGACAAATAAATTATAACAAAATAAATAAATAAATAGATTTATTCTTGTATAGTAGATAAAAGCAGAAATTTCACATAAAATTGAAAAATGCAAAATATATTTCTTATTCTTTTGATGAATCCGATCGCCATGGTTTATTCGTTTTCAAACTTTACAATTTCAATTTTGAAAATTTTAGAAAACATAAATTTTTGAAAATTTCTGAAATTTTGTTTCAATGAATTCTAAGTGACTACATTTTTCGTTGAACATGAATATTATTTCCAGCAAAAAGATAAACTTTCCAGAAAATAGACAAATGTATAGTTACTGATATGATATTATTCATAGTATTCCTAGCTGATAACTTTAAATTATTCTTTAAAATTTCAATCAGTAAACTGATTAATAATTTAATTTTCATAAATTCGTTGTGCCTTCTTCTTCTTTTTTACCATTACTGATTAGGCTGGCTCCGCTGGCTACAAGGCTAATACGTCTCTAAGCTATTCGGTAGGAATTCCATTCCTGATAGCAATAGAAATCATTCCGTTTTCCATCATCTAAGTCCTTATATTGCTGGTCCTATACGTTCAGAATCTTTCTGTATCAGTCCAGGCCTTGATAGAGCCACTTCTGACCCCATCCACCACAGGCCTTAATAGGTAATGAAATATGTATGAAACTTTTGTATAGATTGAATGATGATAAAAATAATAAAATTCCAGGAAAAAATTAATTAAATCTCTTGTTTAAACATTGCATTGTGTGGTGAATCTGTGCTAAAGGAGAACTGCAAATCATTTTCTAGATTGGCAACCACATAAACTATAGAGAATTTTGCTATTTATAAATCTACTTTTTAAAATTAGTTATATTTTTATTTTAATTCACATTAAAATTTCACATTAAAATTTTTATGACCCATTAAATTTCATGTTTTAAAACTGAAATTTAGCTAAAATACTTTTAAATATTTATATATATCAGTTTTTTTACACACTTAAGTTTTTTCAGCTAAAATGCTATTGTACTAAGTTTTTAATTCGAGTAAATACTGAAGAATTTAACAGTTAATAAAATATTGGATTATTGAACTAAATACTAAAAGGTTATTTACTGGATAATTTAATTACTGGTGAAATAATATTTTTTCAAATGTACTTGAGATGAATGCAGATTTGTTTTATGTCAGCATTTTGGACCTTTTTTTTATTATAATTGATAATCAGTTATCAATTTAGTTAGTTCAAAATAATGGAAATTAAATTTCTACTAAATGAATATTTAATTAAATTACCAGTCAATCTGAAGAAAGGCTTTACAATAAAATAATAAGAATTAAAGGAAAATAACAATAAATAATTTGAAAATTTAGTTGAACCAATTTTCAGTTAATTTTTTTGCTATTATTTTACCAATTACAATGAAAAGTAAATATTAAATATGTACGCATATATTCAATAATTTAAATTAGAAATTTTACGAGTCCATCGTTATGTTTTATATTTTTTATCGCTGAATTATCCTTGCTTAACGAAAATTACGTCCTCCATTGAATTCATACTTTTATTTTGAGTTCATTTAGGTCGAATCTGAATTGTCTATTTAAATTGTCGGTAGAAATGTATGCCTCAAGAAGAAAAAATTTTTGTTGCTCCTCATTAAAATAATTAGACAATCGCAATTTTAAATGCAATTTTCTCTAATAATGAGGTTGGGTTAAATTATTCTATTCAACTTCAGAATAAAAAAGCATAACGAGACAAAAATAAAAAGAAACAAAATTAGGCGAAAAAACGAGCAAATCTTTATACGAAGAATTCATCGTAATATATAATCACAAAAATGTTATAGTGAAAAAAATTTATTCGATTTAAATTTATCGACCTACTTTGTCTGAAGTTTGTGCAATTTGACTCCAAAGAGATATTGCGAAGTATTTCCCGGAATATTTGACGGCACATCTAATAAATTTGGCCAAGAATTTGTGAAATTTCAAAGAATATGCATGATTAACCGATACAAAGCATTACAATAAATAAAATAAAATTTTTTCGTTTCTTTTTACATATTTTATAAATTTTAATATGCAAATTATATAAATCTCGCATTTCATGTCGATGCTAGGCACTGACGAATTTTTTTCGATTTCACAAAATTTCGATTTTTTCTTCCACATTCGATAATAAGAAATTGTTGGTATATTTAGCCAATGGCTGAGTGTATTCCGAAAACCTAAATCAAAAACCTAAATAGTATTTTACATCTATTGCAATTTTTTAATCAGCTGATCATCCTAAGGTAATATGAATTGAATACAATAGCACTTACCAGTCACGTTGAAAGATTTGTCGCAACTGTTCAATTCACGGTTTTTTATTTGTATTCCTCTGCGTTGCTACAAAAGCAACGCCTGCAGTGCCACCTTCGAAACAATCAGCTGACCAATTAGAAGTACCTTAATGACGAATTTTTTATTATCGTTTTCAATTAAACTAAAAAGAAGGTGCAAGAGTGGAATGGTTTAGTGGGTAGTTGTTTTCATGTCGGAGCCCAGACATTAAAGTGGGCTTCTCGCAGCAGCAACTAAATCCTAATGGCACTTTCCGAATCACCTATACTTCTAACGACAAGGCTATTTGACAAGATTTGCCCGGGGCGAACCTAACCAGAAATAATAAGCATTCACAGAAAAGAAATAGAATTCCACAAAAAAGCTTGCACTTGTTGGTTTACCATGGATTCGATTGCCGCGTCTTCGTGACAATAAACTTGTCATTAAAGGCGGAATCCTATTTATTAAGACAGAATGACATAACCTTTAATATGTAAAGGGCCAAATGTAATTTCGTTTTTACTTGATAGGCGGCAATGAAAGATGTAAAAATATTTTTTATTTGCAATTAATTATCAGTTATTTGAGAATAACGTTAGCAATCGTGGTTGGATGCCATTTATTATTATCTGAAATATATCATAGTTGAAAACGATGTGAAATTATTAATGTTTAAAAAAATTGTAGTTAACTAAGAAGAAAATAAAAATGGAAGACGACCCTTACAATTATAGACTTATTAGCCTAACATGCGTTGTTAGCAAGGTACTCAAAAGGTTAATTAGCAACAAATTGCTTTTTTATCATGATACCAATAATTTCATATCTTCATCAGCATGGCTTTTGTACAAAAAATATACTTCACAATATTGGCAAATATTGGCAAATTTTTTCGATTGGTTAGCATCAATTGACAATGGAAAAACAGTATCAATTGTGTACCTAGATTTGGCAAAAGCTTTTGATACTGTTTCCCATAGCAAATTATTGACCACTCTTAATAGTTATGGCATTACAGGGGCCCTTTATAAGTGGATGTCAGATTACATAAAAAACCGTCACCAAGATGTATGTGTCAATAATATTCTTTCTGACACAACGCCTAATAAATCTGGTGTTCCCCAAGGTAATTGTATTGCGCCATTGATTTTTCTATTATGTATAAATGATATCATCAATGTGATACTAAATTCCACTATTTATCTTTATGCTGATGATTATAACCTATCTCCACTGCAGGAGGGCCTCAACAGAATAGCCAACTGGCTATATGGCAAGCAAATTAACCTTTCTTTTCAAAAGTGTAGCGTTCTTCATATTAATTCTAAAGGTATCGATTTTCCTACTCTTTTTATTAATGGTAATATAATCAGTAGGATCTCACACATTTCCGATCTTGGAATAGTCATGGATGAAAATCTCAATTTCGACGTTCACTGCAGAATCATAGTAAAGAAATTCTCAAAGATACTAAATTTTCTTTTTCTAAATTTTTAAGAACAAAACTGAAAATTTATCTATTTTTATCAAAATAAAGCATTCGTCATCGCCATCTTCTTGACCACAATACTACATGTTGCACCCAGAGATATCGCAAATCAAGTGAAATAATTGAAGGACTCCAAAAATATTTGATACGGCCTCTCTTCTTATTGCAATTTTAATTATAAAAGTAATTTTCTACAATATAACCTGGATTCTCTGTCATATTCGTCGTATTCGTCGTATTAAACAAGATTTAATTTATACTTACTTATATTTAAGATTCTGTATGGTTATGTTCAACTAGATTTTCAAAATATTATAATTTTAGGTTAAATTTAAATCCAACAAAAACTAATGGGTTAAAATTACTAAAGCCTATATGTAAAACTAAACTAAAGACCTATGATTTCTTTATTCGTACTATTAATTACTAAAATAAATATATTAATTACGAACGATATAGCTTGTGCGTCATCCTTAACTATCTTTAAATAATTTATGAATAATTTAATATCATTTATGATATTATTTAAAAAGTTCACATCATGCAGAAAGAGTGAAATCTCGACTTTTACCATCCGATTATATATAATACAGTTATTTGGAATTATATTATTCCGCAATTTTCTCTTTATTTCCCCTTTAAACTATTAATTTTTGTCATATTTTCTAAAATTTTTTTTTCTTTTCTTAAATTTTATTAATTGTTTTTTTGACTGTTGTTATTAATACAAGTACATGGCCTGCTTGGCTGGTTTCCAATAAATAAAATATATAGTGCCACCACGTTGCAACTTAAAGCACAACTAAAGCAGTGGTCTGGGAGTTGTCATGGAGGCAAGAACCTGCTTTTACATGCAATTTTCATAGATTTAAGCTTTTGTCGAACAATGCCTATTACTTATTTTAAGAATGAATCAATGAAAAACTTCGCTCGAATGTTTGATATCAAACTGATTATATTTGGTTCTAAACCTTGTTCAAATGACTCCGCTCATTTGTAAAATTGCGTTAAGATTCTCGAATTTAGCGAGTTTTTTTTTATGGATTTCAAAATCTGATATAAATGCCACCAACAAATTCGGACTTTCGAGCAGTGGACGTTATAGATGTCAATTCTCCAACTGCAAGAGAATAGTCCTTTGAAATTTTAAAACTTTTCTTCTCCACGTGATTTAAAATATTTGCGTTCTTATTGTTATACGATTTATGATATTGAAATTTATCGCTTTTTCAAACTTTGCACGGCTTTTGCAGCAAAGCATTTTAAATGCAATAAAGCATTCTTTCACAAAATCACCATCTACAAAAGCCTTTGGCTTTGGGATTAAACGGATACAAATTGAAATCCACTTCACACATTTTTAAGTGCATCGAGCTGATATATTACTGAATTGCTAATGAAGCCGGGAAGTAATAAATTTTCTATTAATTCGTCAAAATATTCTTCATTGGAATTGCTTTCAAAATTGCATTCCGAACTGTATATGTCTGTCTTTTGACACTTATTTTGATTACAATTACCCACATTTTGATTTAAAATATGAATTTTTATGAATTTTTCAATATTTAAAATAGTATCTTTCCGCCCACTCACCTTAAGAAATTCTCTTCGATTTTTCTAAACAATTTTTTTTCTGATGGAACAAATTGAGAGGCAATGCAAGATAGCGAAATAAATAATTCAAAATTAAAATTATAAATAAAAGTTTAAAAAATCGAAAAAAAATTTTCAGAAATAGGGCTCTCTTTTTGACTAAAAAATCCTTGCTTTAGGAATTTAAGGAGATGGGCCGCAGAGATCTCTAAAATGAGGGAGGATTATAATGAAGAAGAGTCCACATTTTTTCATTTTCTTCATACTTTTGAGAAAAAGTTTTCTGAAAATCCATCTATTAGCTCCAATGGTTCTTTCTTAATGAGTTTATTTTATGAAATTTTTTTTGAAAAATTTTTGCTCAAAAAAATTTAGATCTTTAAAATAAAGTCTTTGAATAAAAAATTTAACAAGCGGCTTACCCATAGTTGTCAGTTACAACATATTTATTATGAGCCCGTCTAGCTTGAACTATTACTTTTTGGCTATCAACCAAAGCTGGTACTTCAAATATTCTCCAAAAAAACCAACAAAGATCTTTAATTGAAGATGGTCTATCTTATATCTAAATTTTGCAAAAAGGTCAGTAATTCATTCAATGAATCCATTATATGATTATATAAATAATTTTAATAAATATCTATCGCTCAAAGTATAGCATCCAAGTCCCAAATACGATTTGGTCCATTCAGTTCACGAGGCGAAGTCTAAAACTATATTTTATCGCTAAGAAATTTTTGTAAAATGCTCAAAAAAAAGTATTCCGCAATGAAAACTTCATTTTTATAATGGATCTTCAATGGTCGCTTCATGTTATAAGACGAATCGAAATATTTTACTAATGTTTTACTAATTAATTTTTTTAATCTTATTTTCCTTAAGAAAAGTCTCGGCCAAATTCCAATAAATAAAAAAATTTTCCGCAAATCTTCAGTCAGACATGGACAATTTTTCATTACTATACCGAGCTCCATTTTCTAAATTTTTCCTTTTTTAATTATCAAAAATCGATGTATATTTAAAAAATTTTCTCTAATAATTTTTATCAGTGCCTATACATATTTTTACATATCATTTTGGTATTTTTGATTAAAATCTGAATTTAATCATGGGGATAAAGTTTTTAAAAATTTAAACATAACCTGATTCAGTGATCTCCAATCGAGATCGAGATTTGCAGAACCAAGATAGAAGTTTTGCTTATCAGCTATCAGAAATTTTGTGCATTACCCCACTTACCTAATATTTTCATCCTATTGCTTAGTTTTTGAATCACGACACCTGAAATATTATTGTTTATTCTATGATTTGTAACTTATTAACTTTTGTTAACTTATACCTTTTATCGCTAGGTTTTCACCATCTGCATTGTCATCTTTGTCTTTGAGCGGAAAATTTCCAGCAATGTATATTGATTTATTTCTTAGTCCAGCATTTAATAGATCGTTAAAGAATAAATCACCCTAGAAACAATTTTGTTATGATATGATTTTTTGAAATGAACTCATTTGATTAAATTTGAATTGCCTAGAAAGAAAAATTACCGCAAAGCCACCAGTAAGTTAATATATGCCGAGAATTAAGCCAAACAGTATTAACCAATATAGTATGCCATGTTTATAGAAAATTATAATTCCAAATTTCATTAAATTTGTTCATAAAATCCATGAAAGCAAAAAATTTTTTATTCGTTGTTGCCACCTTTATCTCATCCATCCAAAATGGAAAATTCTTTTGTACATTAACCTTTCCTGTAATTTCTCCTAGCCAGATTCATGGATCTCTAAGATCGTAGACTAGGCTATTCTGGTTGCTAATCGTAGGTCACAGAAGGATCGTAGACTAAGTATCTTCAGAGTTTTTATAAAATCTATGAAAGGAAACACCAAATTTATATTGAAAAAATGGCAAAATAGTATCAATATTACCTGTATAGAATACACGAGGTCTGAACTTTTTTCTAGTACATGTTTACCGCGTAAAGTGGTCTTGTAAGCTGCAATTAATAAGCCAATTTTGGCCTTGCCAAGCATCAAAAGTATTATTAGATAAGGGTGATCCATGAAATATAACATTAACCGGAATGTTTTCCACTATATCAATACTGAAAAATAATTTGTTCACTTCATAATAGACTCAAATAAGGGAAGAAAAAATAAAATAAATAAAATAAATAAAAATATATGAAAAAATAATTCAATAATCGATTCTTGCCATTTTGCAACATTTTTTTTCCATTTTTCTGTTTTCGTTAATTTATAAAAATTATAAAATTACAAATAATATATCTTCTACTTAATGGACGATAGAATAAACGATAACATAAAGCATAACGAGCAAGTTCGTCCAACCATAATAGCACTGTATGATTGCATTGTTACGTGATAAAAGATAATTCATCTTTAGTTGTTTTTAGAGAATATAGAATTAAAAAGGAAATCCCGATGAAAATAATAAGACTCTAAAGCAGAGCAAAAAATTTTGCCTCTTTTTAGTTTTATGGCAAAAGATAAGTTGTGGATTTGGATTTAAAATGTGGTAAAAGAAAAATGAGTTGAATTCGAGAGCAATGAAACATTTTGATTTAGGTTTATTCTTGTTGCTAATCATAATTAACATAGTTCATACGCTTTTTTATCAAAAAATTTCGTCGATTGTTAGAAAAAATTGCCTAACCATTGTTGAAAATCTGGCACCAACTTTTGAATTTCGTTGATTCACTAATTTGCGATTGATTCTTGTCATGAAACCATATGCCATGAAATGTTACCATTTTTAATGAAAAATAGCTGTTAAGAATGTTCGCGAAAAATACGCGGATCAAGACAAATTGTCCAAATATAGCATCAAAATAAATATAGCGATGGACGAATACTGAGCACACACTGAATACTGAATATGGCAATAACAAATAGGGACACGAGAGCGATATGTTTAGGTATCGACTTCAAGAAAGGCATGGAAATTTACTTTCCTTAGGTTATTCATAGATGTTTCAATATAAATCAATATTGTTGATGATAGTAGTAATAAAATTTTCGGCCATGATTGTGCATGCGATATTTGCAGTTTAACATTTATTAGCTGGAAGAAGAATTGGAAACTGAAACTAAAATTGGGAATTTGGAAACTTAAAATAAATCCATGCAAGCGCGACAATAAACTGATTCTTGAAAATAAATAGCTAATAGATAGTTGAAGCTGAAAGAATAGCTACTGATAAGATTACAACTATCACTTTTATATCAATTATTTTTCCTGTTATGATATTTCCTGTTATTATGTGGTAACTTTTGTGCAATCTCATTTTCTTTCGTTTTAATTTATTTTGGACAATATAAAATATAAAATAATAGGTTAATAAAATAAATGTAACAGGATTAATGTAGGTATTTAATGAATAAAAGGCCAATAAATTTGAAAAGCAATGGTCGATTAAAACGGCGTCGTTTATAAGCATACCATATCTTTGATAATTACTTTTCCATAGTTTAATAGTTGGTATTCGGTGATTTGAAGCAACATTCCTCTTATACTGCTATCACGATGGAGAATTCTTTTAGATTCTTTTAGATTATTTGTTAAAACCCATTCTACACGGTTCTATTCCTTTCACTTAATTTTCTTTAGGTGATTCAGTTGAAATCAAAGAAATTCAAGCTTTCTATGCAAAATCTGTAATTAATTATAACTTTAAAACTTTCTATGTGTTTTAAAGTATGTTTTTGAGGACATCAGTAATAACCAATCCGTACCAGTTTAATTCATTAATTCACGGATGTTCTCATAATATGTTTTGTCATTTTATCACCAATAAAATCGCCAACAAACAGTGCTTAAAGCATATCAGTGAAATGATCAAACATCTCATCTAATTGATATCAGTTGAATCATATCTGTTTTAAGAAAATACTTTTAAAAAAAGCACTGATGAAAATTTACCATATAACAAAATAATATCTCTGCAAGTTTTTTTCCACAGTAAAATAACCAAATAAATTGCAGGAATAACATATTTATCCTCTAATTTCACCTCTTATTTTCGACTTCGAATGAATCTATTTTTTCAAAAAATTTTGGTAAAATTACGTTAACATGATTAACAGATGGCGATATGGTCAAAGACGGTCTTCGATGCCGAAAAATCGCTGCTCTTTTTACAAAAAAGAAAAGAAAATTGTTTTTGGTTCTATTCACCACTTTATCACTTAAAGTTCAGAAATGATCAAGCGATGTGAAATTCCATGTCGGTTGAATGCAATTTCAATTTTTTATTAGAATTCAATTTTTAAGAAAATGCAACATTTTTCTTAGTTAATTCGTCCCACAACCATCATCGTTCACGAAATTAACGATGGAAAAAACCATAATATTTCCCGAATAATATTCCATATAAATCATTTTATCTCAAATAGTTTCCTCTTAATCTCCTTAAAAAAATTTTTACGGATTATATGGCTACTATTTTCGTGAAATTTATTTATCAGTATTATCAAATTGTTTGGCATACTAAATAAATAAACATTATGTGTTATTATGGATTGTCCTCGTTATGAAATTTTCAATAAATTAAGTTCACAATTTAACCGACTTATCCGACAATATTTCCTGATTATAGATCATAAGAATTTATGAATTTAATATTTATGACAAATTGCGTATAGATAAAGAATAAATTGTTAAGAAAAAAAGTTTTAACAAAAATTTTTTTACTTAAGAGGTGCCTCAAAAACATGGTTTCGTGAGAAATATTTTTATAGCCTGAAAACACATAACAACTAATCTGATACAACAATATTATCATTAATGTGTGGACAGGTACGAACGTGTCAACATGAATAGCAGTGAAATTATATGGATATTTCATTGCTCATTTATCAGCAGTGAAATTTTGCTAATGCGCTTCCGCTTCTCCTTGCACTGAATTATCGAGGCCCATCTTCTTCTCAAGGAAAGTAACGTCTGCTTCGATCTTTGTTTGCTCTAAAATTAAGTAAAAATATTAACATTTTAAAAGATTTTATAGGAACTGCGCCACAGTTTTAAAGTTTAATCTAAAGTGAATTTTGTTTTCATCTATAAAAGAACTAAATTTTATTGAACGTATAAGCTTTTTATCAGACCATAATTGTCATTCTTCAACTTCGTCTTTACACGCCGAATGAATAAATAATAAAAATTTATTATAAAAATTTTACGCGTAAGTAATTCAATCTGTCTATATTGCCGCCTAATTTTTGTTTTTAGCATAGCATTCTCATCACGTAGTGACTCAAGTTCCACAGCAGCCTTTCGATATTGGTGTTCCCAAGTTTCACCATACGCTTCGTGAGTTTTTCGAATGCTTTCTAAACGAGCAACCTGAAAAGTATACAAATAGGGAAAAATAAATCTTGGTTGAAAAGATTTAAAGACTGTTGGGAACCTGGGAAAGAGCACGATCTAATTGATTATTGGTACTCGTGAGTTGTTGCTGCATCTCGGTTATGGTTTTCTCAGCGTTTGAATCTCGTCTTTTGGATTGATTCTCCTCAACAAGAGCATCAATCTTCGTTCGCATTTTTTTTCTGCAAAAGTAATTTTTTTTGTTCTAAAAGCACTGAAAATTTCTGATTGGCCTCACTGATTATTAGGATAAAACCCTTTTGCCAGAAGTTCATCATTTGAATATATACACTGGTGTATTAGTACCTGCAATACTGATATCATACCGATTTCAAGTAATAGAAATAATGAAACCTCTCGTCTAGCAGTTCGTTTTTGCTCTCTTCAATGCTTCTTTCATATTTTTCCTTTAAAGCATCCAATTCGTTCTGCGTTTTTTTCAGCTTCATTTCAACTTCATGACCTTTCTCTGCTTCTTCTGTTAAGGAATTTTCCAGTGTCGTACATGTGGCAGTCAAAGTTCGTAATTTTTGATTCAGTAATTCTCGATCCTGCAAATTTTATTGCTAGTGAAGAGAAATAAAAATTATCATTTTTATTTCTGATTCTGATTAAAAAGAAATAAAATTTATTTGTCACTGGTTTTATTAATAATAGCAGAAATGTATGAAATGTATGTAACAATTTTCACCTTCTCGCTTTGCGAAAGCGTTGATTTATAAACGTCGATCTCTCGCTTAAGGATTTGAATATCAGTGTTTGACGAGAGAAGTTGTCGCTCAAGCTGCGAAATTTTGCGCTCATTGGCAATATAAGATTGTGATGAACTTCGTGAAAGTGCCTGAACTTCAGAATGATAACTCGATGAAAATATTGATGGGCTACGAAAACCGGGCGAATATTTCTCTGCAAAATTTTTTGTATCTGGTTCTGTGGTACGCCGGCTCATTGTTCGAATTGAGCTGAATGAACCAATTGAACTCGACGAATATTGTCTGCTTCCTAAGCGACTTTGTCGACCAGAAACTACAAAAAAACTACTATTAGAAAAGTAAATCTATGAAATCTTTTTCTATGAGATGAAGGAACGAATTTTTAATGAAAAATTCAAAGATGTTAATTCAAAACGAATTTAAATACTCGTAAAATTGGAAAGTTTGATATAACAGTGATAAAATCACCATAATCAGATTCCACGGATGATTCTCTGTCTATACTGTCAAGTTTGACTCGCTGCAGCCTATTTTCTGCTTCCAATCTGAAAATTTCAAACATCGGTGCATATGACACCATTTTTCTCATATTTTATGATGTTTCTTGCGAAATAAAAACAGTAAAAAAATTAAGAAAAATTTGTTAAAATCAGTAAATTCGGTTTTTTACGTTCAATTCAAATCAATAAATAAACCCATTTCAAATAAATCCATTAGTTTATTTACTGAAAAAAATTACTTTTGGCATTTTTTCCTTAGTTCGTCCATTCGATTCTGCATTTCATCTTTTGATTGTTTATGTATTTTCTTCATTTCACCTACATTAATTTCGGCTTTCTCCATACAATTAGCCAATTGATCGTGTAGCTTTTTAATTTGCTGGTCTTTCTCGCCGCATATTTCTTTCTAAAACACCATTTGAAATTGAAATCATCCACAAATGAATTAAATGAAAATTCACTTTGTTTTACAAATAACAAAAGTTTATAAATCTTGGCGAAGCCGTTACAAATAAAAATTGCTAATAATAAAGGATAATATTTTAAACGCCTCAAGTGGAAAACAGCCAATTTTTTGTTATAAGAAGTCGTTTTTTGTCATCGCGTGACGTTAAAAAGCTTTCAAATCACTGTTATCTGCCAGTAAAAGCGGTTGGTTGGGGGAAAGCAGAAAAAAAAGAGACGTGACAGTCACGAGTCACGAGAAGAAGGAAATTTGTTAAAATGGTAAATGAGGGAATAGAAAAATGAATAGAGGAAAGAAACTATGAAGAGTATTATTTTAAAAATAATTTTGCTATATAATTTCTTACAAATATTTTTATGGTCTAATTATGCGATAATTGTAACTTTAATAATCAACTATGAACAAATGTATTCCAATAATTATTAGTAATAATGAAATAATTATTAATAATTATTATTAATAATGAAAATAATTATTAGTGACAAATTATAACAACAATAAAATCCGGCATGATAAAATCCATGCGTCGCAATGCGTCGCCATATGCTCGTGAAAGATAGAAACAACAAAAATCATCTATGATTTTCGCTTCTTTGCAAAAAAATAAAAATTTCAAAATTCAATCTTTTAAAATAGATCAAAATGTATGAACTGTATAGAACCTTAAATAAATGAATAAAAAAATTAAAAACCAAAAAATTCTCAAAAAATTATCTTTTAAAATATATCTTAAAATATCTTTTACTGATGTCTGTCTTGTGCTTTCCTTATAAAATATTATATTAAGTCAGTTATAATTCCATGAAAATCAAATTAATCTAAGGAATCGAAATTATCCACATTGATAGAAAAATTATATTCAATCTGACTAATCAATTCGTTAGAAATTATGTCGAAAAAACTAATAGATAAAATTAATTATTTGTGTAATTCATAGTTATTTGAACCGTTAAACTAACAAGATTTTCCAAATTTATCATAATTTTTTGTGTCTTTTCCTTCAAATGTTCCATTTCAGAAACTAATTCCTCATTTCGTTTTTCGGCTTCCCTATAAGCTTTCTTTTCGCTTAATAAAATTGAGTCGAATTTTTGACATTTTTCCTGTAATAGTATTTTTCGTGTATAAAAGCAAATATATGAAAATTTTCCGATTACATTTTAACATTTTTGAAAAACATTTTAGAAAAAACAAACATCAAATTCCGATAGATTTTCTCGTAATTCGCGAATCGTTTGTATATTTCGTGAATTTTTCTCATTCAGCGAAGAAATTTCATTCTTTAATCTGAAAAATTAAATAAATTTTTTCAGAAAAAAAGTAAATACTAAAAGGACCGAAACCAACTATCTTCTTTTTATGAATTTGTTATTGCTTAAAACTGTATATTATGCGAAATTTATATGATAAATTTAGATAGTATTAATATCATCGGTTATTATCATAACGACTTTTTAAAGGGAAACAACTTCTCTAACCCCAACCGAGTTTTAAGAATACGAATAAGATTCCGCTCGTTGGCGAAAAAATTCCAGCAATCCATCAATATCCCTTCTAAAAAACTTTCGTCAATAAAATTACTCACTTCGATATTTGTTGCGCTTCTTTTGCACTATTCTCTTCGAGGTTTCTTAATTTTTTTTCATATTCATCCACTATTTCCCCTAACGCTTCTGCTTTTTTGTTTAATTCGAGTCCGTACTCGTATTCTTTCTCGTATTTTTCCTTCCACTGAAATTTTTATGCATTTGATATTTGGAAGTTACATTATATTTATATATAATGTATATAAGTTCTTTTGCTGAGATGAATTTACATCAAATTGTTAAATCCTATTCATTCCAATAAATTTGAAAATCATTTATTGTACTATAAAATGGAATATAATGAAAATTCAATAAGCATACATTTGCTAGTTGATCAGTTAATTCGTTTTTTTCAAATTCGAGCTGTTCTATTTTCTTTTCATTTTCCCTCAGGCTACAATGAATCTTCTGCAACAGTACTTCAAAAATCAACTATACTTTATAAAACTGATTGATTAATAGTTAAATGAGTGACCTCTTTTTCTACTGTAATTCAACCACAGTGGATTTTTTTATTTGCAAAACATAGCAGCATTTTTAATATTTTATTTATCGTACTTAAATTCTTTTTATCTTAGAAATTTATCGAGTTAAATTGTTATTTTTGACTAACCATAATTTTAGCGTGCTGCTCATCGAAGCGTTTATCCATAACTTCCATAAGTTCTTCATTTCGTTTTATTTCCGCTTTCATCTCATATTTTTCATTATCGTATGCTGCTTTTTCGTGCTCCAACTGAATATAATCATATAATTGGTAGTTGGTTAGCACTTTCTATTTCTGGCTAGGCTCTGCTCGCCTTTTTTCTCGCTTTTCTTTAGCGGGATTATAATTTCTTGCCAAAGAATCATTTGGTGATAGAAACAAGGTAGAAAAGAAATCGCCAACCTAGATTTCCCAATGACAGGTTTATTCCTATCAAAGATAAGAGTGAACGAATATGATCAGATAACCGTTAAAATAATATTACCGCGTATCATTTAACATCAAATGGAGTGATGGAGTACCAATTTATACCAACCATCATGAGGTCGGTTCCTGTCTATTGCTAGAAATATTAAAAATAAAATCCGGGTGGTGGGACCGAGGACCGAGGAGGATTCGTCCATTTATCTACCATGATTACTTTTAAATTACTTTTAAATCTTTTAGATATTGGAAAATCCTTACAGCTGAAATTCTTTTTTCTGCGTCGCAAAGATTCTTACGCATTATTTCATTTTCTTTATTCAATTTTTCAAGCTCCTAAATACGGTTGAATAAAATTACATTAAATGAATCATTCCATTTTTTGTTTGAAAATATTGCAATTATGTCTCAGTTAGAAAAGAAAATTAAGACTTAATTAATATTTAATTAATATCTAGAAATTTGTCTAATTTGAGAAAGTTCTAGAGTTTCTTCGACCAAAGTTGTCACACCTCTAAAAGTTGGCTGTTTTCTTTTTCCAGTTCTTCTATGCGTTTTTTATCTTGTTGCATAGGGATAAGTTCTTTCACAAGGAGAAATAGGCGATACCATCTCCAATTGGCTACTTTGGAATATTGTCGAACGTTCTGCTGTATAATCAATAGAGCCTCCCTGAACATAATTTTTGACAATTTTCAATTTAATCTGCTACAAACATAAGCTGAAAGTGATGTTTTATACAAGCACTTTTTAAAATTCCACTAAATCAACTTATAATCAACGTTATTCCACAAAACCTTCGCTGCATTCGCTTTTCGCATTCAACTTGTTGCATATACCATCGAATAGTTGCTTGAATTTTACATATCATAGCATTGATGCAAGCTCGTCGACGGTTTTCTAGCTTAAATTGAAGGGTAAAATTTATGGAATGATTAAGTGTAATAATTGATATGAATTCATTCCCATGCCTTTGTTGCCAAAGCCCATCATAGTCTCTTTAATTTTATATAATATTATACAATTTGTCAGCTAACCTCGGTTATTACTCCTATTTTGCAGTACACTTTACTTTTACCAATTTGCACAAGATTTTCATCTAATTCTAAAGCATATAAAAGGTCTGATGCTCCTGCCCGATCCAGTGTGTATGCATTTTGAGGTATAAGTATGCGATATTTTTCCACAAAGTCGCGAAATGGCACCCTATTTGGATAGCCTTGGCGACAAATTCTAACTCCTTCTAGTACTCCATTACATCTAAATTGCATAATTATGTTTTAATTGATTTATTTTGTAGAATTACCAGATAAATATAAATACTAACCTTAGCTGATTCAGTACCAAAAATGAATCGATGATTCCTGGCTTACGATTGCGATTTGGCGCGATGCATCTTATAAACTGAGCTCGAGTAGAATTTAGAGTGTCCAAAAGGCTCAACAGTTGCTCCTGACATTAGCGATTATTGATCTAATTATCTAATCATCTGTCGATAACAACTTTTATTCTCAAAACAATACTTAATTGAGGTACCTTATAGATATAAGTAACAGTATTTGCATTCATTGGTTGTCTCCTTGATCGTGGTTTGTCTTCTTCTACTGAAACAGCCCAATAGTTTTTGAAATTCACATAGAATTGTTATTTGGTATGAATGGATTATATTCAGTATAAATTTTGATCGTTGAATAAATTGTGTGTTTACTCTAAGTAAATTTTACGAACCTGGAGGAAAGAGAATTCTAATGATCGGTTTCGAACTCTCACTCAATACCCGTAATCCATTCTTTTCTACTGCATCCTTATTTTTTTCCACCCATCCATCAATATTGTATTGTACAACGCCAGCATAATGTGTTATACAAAAATGCGCTACTGTTGTATTTCTAAACTTTAATTCAAATTTATAATGATTAAGATAACAATAAATTAAGAAATTAATACAATCATGCGAATCTTGTTAAAAACAGTATAACCTGGCTGATTGCCTGGATCTAGCGAAAGCAGGATTTGAAGAGTGATTGGCTATCAATTTCTGCAGCAGTAATTCATCACTTCCATTTGGCACCAAACATTCTTCTTGCAGCAATGAAAATAATCCTAATGGCTATAACAATCTTTCCAATAATAAGTTTTTTTATTTTGCAAGAACAAGTAAGTTATTTGCATCGTTCAATAAAACTTGAGGATTTATTAACCTTTTCGATAAGCTCAATCGTATTTTGCATGTCGTTACCATAGTCAATCCTTTGCCAATAAATTCCTTCACTTTCATATTCTTGTTGTTCCCGAATGAACATAAAATCGTTGAAAAATTGTTGCAATTTTTCATTTGTATAGTTGATGCAAAACTGCTCAAAACTATTTTTCTGAAAATTTTTCTCTTTTTAAAACAACAACAATTATCTATGATAACCATCGATCTATTGTCGTATTGTCGTAAATAAGTGCTATTTATCCATTAGAAACAAGAAGGAAAATGAAGGAGCGACTAGATACATTGTCGTAATTCTCCACAATTCACCTGTATTATTTCGAATCCAGCTATGTCTAATACTCCAATATATTTTGTTTTCAACGATTCTTCCACTATAAATCAACTTTACTAAGCATTAAATAATTCTTTTCATAAAGGCTTTAAAAGTGAAGCTAAAAATAAAAAAGGAGTTTAGCGAGAAAGCAATAAATTATCTTGAAATGTCAACAATTATTATTATTAATTTAACCTGCCATTCTTAGGGTACTTTATATGCTTTATCTTGGTACCAGAGATCTATTTGTTTTCGTTCTTTAAACGAGCTTATTAAAACGTACTAATTGATAAGCAATACTTACTATTAAACGATTCGCCTAATGCTGCATTACATCTTAATAAAATCCACGTAAATAATCGTTCATAAATGCATTTACACAAAGCAGAAAGCGATGAAAGTGTCTGGAAATATCAGTTATTGCTTCAAAAGTGTTTTAATAAAATACTTTAGTTCGATATCCAATTTTGCTAGAGGGATATTATTTTAAATCTTCCTTACAAGAAAAAAGCAAAAAGGTTCAATGAGTTCAATGAGATGAGAGCACATATTGAAAACAGTGGTACAATGCTACGATCTCTTGACTAGTAAATCTAACCTTCCGAAGATTTTGGCTTTTTTTGATGAGAACATCGCTCACTTTCATCGACGGTTGGGTGAGAGCATCAATTAAACTACTTATTTTAACACCCAAAACGCGGCATGCTGCTCCCACTTCTGTAAATTTTCTACTCAAAAAAATTTTGAAATAGAAAAATTTCAATGTTTTTAACCATTTCTGATTTAGTCAGCCCATCAAGAATAATTTCATGTATTTTAGAATTGCTTAAAGCCGATATTTAGCGAACGCAAACAGCAAGTTTTAAATTAAAATTAAGTCCACCTTTATTGCCATCAACATATGTAATATCTAAGCCACTTCTTTCGCTAAATTTAATTTCTCCAAGAAGGATGCAAGATGCCAAAATTTCGTTGATTTGCAATATTTCCTCACTGCTAAATCCAACAAGGGCGAGAGATCGCTGAAATCTTTCAAAATCTTTATTCAAAATTTATAAGCCTCAACAACCATTCTATTAAGAATCGTAACCCTTTATTCGTAGAATGGCTAATACGTATTTCGAATATCATATTGCTTGCTGTTCATCGAGCAAATTTGTCTACTGTTTACCGTGGATTTAGGATTTTATATTCGGGAAAATTTATTATTTGCTACTATCATCATAAAATTTATTATTATAAAAAATTTTCGTTCTTTTTTGAATTCTTTTTGTCAATGAGGGTTAATTAATAAATTGCAGTTAGGCAACAATTTTTTCACTTTACATAATCCGAAATCTTGATATTGTCACCTTGGTTTCATTTGCATCACGTATATCATTAATCTCCAAATCGTTAATCCTTCCTCCTTGATTCAAAAAACGATATGCGTTGGCCTTCTGACCAAGGCCTAATGAATAGCGATATTCATCGCCGAATGCATCCGACAATAGCTGGTAAAAAATATGGAAATTTCGATCGCCTTCATTTTGCTTAACAACGCGAGATTTCTCCAAAAGATCTTAATTTCTGCGTAATTTTTCACAGTTATTTTCCATTTTTTAAGAGTAAAACGAATGCAATATAGATGAATTTTGGATTCAAATCGAGTTAAAAAATCTTACAACACTGTATTTCTGCTCCAATCATTTGCATGTAGTCGTCGAAATCCATCCGAATAAATTTACCCTATAAGAATTAAATTAAATTTGTAAACTTATTTCTTCTTTTCTATTAATCTTATTATTTTCTATTATTTCTTATCTCTTCCTCAGCATCGTCAAAAATTGGCAAAAGTTCCACAGTTAAATTGTCTTTTCATTCTTGGAACCTTTATTTTGTATTTACAAATAATAACATTGGATTTTGTTAAGTAAAATGCATAATTATGTGAATTATATGAATAGCGAAACGAATTTGTTGCGATTTATCTTCTTCTTAGCAAATTAAATTTATAAAAAGCATATGGCTTACCAATCTCGAACTATTGCTATTATGAACTGTTGAAGCATTAGCAAATGATTCAATAATAACTCCAACAGCAGTGAGTTTTTCATCGATGCGATTTGGATTATTTGCTGATGGACATTGCTTGTTGGCAACAATGCCTATATATTCAATGATCTTCTTAGTATTGACAGTCTTACCCGCACCGCTTTCACCCCTTAAAAATTCATTTTTCAATAATCAGTAATTTAATTATTAATAATTTCATTAACATCTTTCATTCTTATTGTTGATAAATAACAATTTGAAGTGCACACGTTATTAAGATTGATTGATTTTCACCGCCGAAAAGGCCATCGTATGCTGACTGAGCCAAAGCATAAACATGAGGTGGTAGATTAGCAGTGGTATCGAGGCTGTTTGCATACTCATGCATTACTTCTGGTGAATATAATTCTAGATTCATCCATGGATTAACCACAAGACAAAAGAGACCCGAATATGTCTAAAAAATTATGTGATTAAATAGTTTAGCTGGGCATTTCAAGAATTTCATATTTCTATGATTTTATTTTACTTTTTAATAACTTTTTTAAGGAAAAATGAGTCATAGCACAAGCAAGCTTACATGGATAAGTCGTGCTGCGTATCGAGAACGAATTGCATGAAGAACATTTGCTTCATTAAGTTCGCTTAAATTGCAGATGTCCTCACAAAAATATGAAATGCTTGAAGGAAGCGTATCCTTTTTTGCAACCTTCTTCTAAAGTTAAATTCTTAACAGTTTTGCTTTCCGTGGTACTTATCGCTGGTTAGGCTGGATTAAATGGCTATTAGGATGAAAAACTCTTGCTTTACAGTTAAAAATAGAAATACTGGTGGATCTTCAATGCATAATAAGTTCGTTGCTAGGTAGGGAGGGGGGCACGAGATGATAATTGGAACGACAAAGCTATATGACAATAGGTGTTTATCCATATTGTTGCTTTACTAATTAGAATCTAAATTTGCTTAAAGTAGTTGAAATATCGCAATAAAGGAAACCTTCTCAAAGAATCCTTTTTCATCACGAAATGCAATGATGAATTTATCGCCATAATTTTCAACGACAGAAACGAGTCGATAAGCGATATCGCTATCAGTTATCCAAATTTTCATCGCAAAGTCATCATCCACTCCCCTTTTAGAAGTTGGCACTTCTAGTGCTCTGAAAAATTGTGTTATATGAAAAGTTTACCGATTTTATCGTTATTGCGATAATGAACATAAAAATCCCATGGATGAGCAAAAATTTCGACTTCATTCCACCAGACTTCATTTATGAGGTAAATAGAAATAGAAATAGATAGAAATAAAGGTCAAGGCCTATCTTAAAAATTACTTTTATTTACAATTTTAATTAATCGATATTGAAATTTCTTTTGGAAATCATAAAATTTAACGACTTTTTTCAGAATTTCCTAATACTTAAAAATAAATTCAAAGTGGCAAATTATAAAATATAAAATAGTTTAAATGAATAATAATTCAAAGTGGCAAATTATAATAGTATAAATTATAAAATAGCAAATTATAAAGTAGTATTAATTATAAAATAAAAATAATTATAAATAGTTAATAATAATAAATAATTATTAATTCGAAATGCAATAAAAAAAAAAGAAAATAATCCACTGAAAAAACTTTATAGGAATACTCGATATTTTAAAAAAATTTTAGAAAATTGCAAAAAAATTTGTGTGGAAATATTTTTCCATTACCTATCAGTAATGGAAAATAATTTTTAAAATATAAAAAGTTGTAAAAAATTAAGCAAAAAAGGAAATTAAAATTTTTTAGAGAAATTTATCGATGATTATTTGTGATAATTTCTATTTTTCTTTTCTCTTATTTTATTACTCTAATATTAAGATTTTAAGCATTTCTGCCAGATATACATATACCTTATTGTATCACTGTGGACAAATATCTTCGACTGGCAAGAAAAAGGAATGTTTTTTGAAACTATATTTGTGCTTATTGTTGAGAGTCTAAAAAGTTTCCTTTAATAAGATTTCTTTGAAAATAAAGTTAAATGATGGCAATGATGACATTAATAATCTGAAAAAAACTGCGCTATGAATCGTGCAATTGATCGCAAAAAACTAATCCAGGTTAGTGGAAGAGGAAAGGTAGTTTAGCAAATATGTTCCATGAAAATGCTGTACAAACTATAAAGTTGTAGCAAGACAAGCAGGTAATTCACATTTACCATTTTGATTAGGTTCCCTCCACTAATGAAGTGACAAGCTTCCTCAGAGAGTTGTCGATAGATATATTCGTGGGCTCACATGCGTATTATTTTACTTGTGCACATAAAATAAGAATCAACAGCAGCTATTTAGCTGGTTATTTTGCTATTTTGTTATGCTTGTTAAATCGTTCCATGTGAAAGAAGTTAAGATGGTACAACTGAGCGTTCAGATTTCTATAAACTTTAATCTTGAGAATTTCTGGTAAAATAGATACTTTCTTTAATAATAAACAGTAATTTAGGCTGTTGTGATTATTGGTCTTATCGGTCTTTCATTCGTTCCTTTCATTGATAATACCACTCTTTTACACGGATTCTCTTTTCCATCATCGCCTTCTTCAAAGCCAAATGTTGTTTTATGAATAATTTCTTAATGAAGATTTTTTTTTTAGCTGTGAACGGAAGAAATTATTTTTTATTCACTTCGCTTTTTTCTGCATTTATTCGGTATTTTTCTACATTTATTTTGATAATTTTATTTTTAATCCTCGTACTTCTAAATATTTAAATTTTAACTTTTAATTCAACTGGTGAAACTATATTTTATTTAACTGAAACATTTAAATAATAAAAAATAGTTCTTTGTGTTAGTAATTTGGCACAATTACTCAATGATTTTTACTTCATAATATATAATATGAGTTAAATTTCTCGGGTTCACTTAATAACTAAACGAAGGATGAAATTTTAGCTCGAATAGTTGCAGCTATTCTTTCTTTCTTTCTTCCACCTGCCAAAAACGTTGCGTGATCGCTTCTAAAAATCAGTCTCAAAAAGAAAGTTCGCATCTATTTAGCCACAGTGCGCAAGTTTGTTCTGCTGATAGAAATACGTCCAACGAGGGGAGTGCAAGACATCAAAAAACTCTTTTACCATTCTTCTGCGCTTGCGTTGTCGATAAACCTGGTCTGAATGCGTCTATTTTTGCCATATTTTCAGTGGTATGGTCAAGAGCGATATCAATGCTAGCTAAGCTAAGTATACGTTTGTATTCCACCGCAGTGGGCGAAACAGATCTCTTTATCTTATGATAGGTCGTGCAGTCCAAGGATCGACAAATTAAATGATGGTTTGAATTCGCATGGTGGAAAAATGAATGGCTAATTAGTGAAAAAAGAATATAAATATAAGCCTAATAAAAATTTAAAATTTAAAAAATGTTTTTTTCCAGGGAAATTCTACAGAATTTGTTATTTATCTATTTGAAAAACACTTCAGATCTTTTTGATATTGAGGAAAATTTAACAAATTTCCTGTTTGAAACGAATGCGATGAGCACTACCTTCGCTAGTTAAACTTAACTGGTTACTAAATATTTTCACAAGAAATTACATTCAGCTCTATCTATTCTCACGACAATGCGCAAAATTACCACTATTCGAGGAAAACATTGCGAAATATTCGGAGTCTTCACTTTTCAGCCTGAGAAATTGATCCTAATAAATGTGATAATGTGGTGATAAAGATTCATGATTCTTAAGGAAAATTTTCATGCAAAATCATTTTATATTCTAATTTATTTCGCAGCTGCTTTATAAAAAAAAAATATTTATTTTATTGATATATTTCTGAATATTTTTAATAGACCTTTTAAAATGAACGAGTAACTATGGTGAAATATAGATGAAAGAAGTCATAATGGATCTATAATTTGAATTTTTTTCCGATTTTTTATTATTTCTTTATTTTGATGCTCACAATAAATAAAAGTCGTTTATGCATGAAATACACAATAAATTAAATGCATAGATGGTTCGCATGAATTCGCAAAAAAATAGGAGCCGAATTTATGACTTAAAGGACTGAATAGTAGAATACAACAAAAAGCGTCTAAGAAGTAATCGTTAATTATATTTGTAAGTATAAAAGAAATTTATTTCTATTTAGAAAACAAATTTGATGAATATTCGCCAATTTGGTTCAATTTTAAAAATAACGTACCTGAGGACACCTGAGCGCATAGTATCAGTTGAGGCCAAATTTGCATGCATGATTACCCAATTCAGTTCTTGATTCGGCTAATTATAAAAGCTTTCCAAAATACAAAAAATGAATGATAATATCGTTGAAAACGCTATATCCTGAGGCAACCTCACTGCATTTATTTCGACCGATAGCCCGACCCACTTTCTGTTCAAATTACGCAATAACGATTACTTTATTATTTAACCCTCACACCTGATTTACAACGATTGCTGTTATCACTTGTTTAAACTAAAACATTGTATCCATCATCCAAAGAGCCAAAGTCTTCGCTATTCGCAATTTCTTTTTCATAACTCGGCGAACTACGTCGATAACAAAAATTTATTTTTAACAAGAAAGTTATTTTATCGAATTGCCCAAAGGTATTGGAGTCCTTTGGCGAACGCATGTGAGTCGCAAGTATCATCCGGATTATTATAGATTTACTCCTGCCGGCGATAAGAACGCATGTGAGTCGCAAGTATCATCCGGATTATTACAGATATACTCCTGCCGGGAATCGAGCCTCAGCATCCACATACCTTTGGGCAATTCGATAAAATAACTTTCTTGTTAAAAATACTTTCTTACCGTGCAAGCGACACATAAATAATCGTCTTTTTTAACAGCTTTTTTCATTTATAGCTCAATGCCTCACGACATGCCTAAATGCAAATTTCAAATCTTAATTTAAAAATTGGAATGGCCGAACAGCATCAAGTGCCAATGTTCTTTGACAAGGCTATCAGTTACCATTGATAAATAGGCATTTGCTCGCTCTAAGCATTTCTCATCTCCTCGTAAATTATTTATGTGGAGAAAATAAATATCAAATTAAAGGGATCCGTTCTAAACTATATTAATTTTCTTATATAAATTGATTTATGTAGATGAGTAGTTTACAGCAACCAAATATGAACTCTAATAATTCTCCGTTATACGAATTTTGCTTTATTACTTATAATTCTGCAGTAAAATTTGATATGTCAAAGAAATGTCGTAGAAAATTTCAAAAAATCCGGTTTGCTTAAAATTTGTGGAGGATAATAAACTGATGATTATCTCTCAATGGCGATAAATTCACGCTCGCCTATCAAAAGTTAATGGAAATGTAGATTTTAAATGTAGATTTAAATATCCGCGAATCGATCTTTTTTATAAGCCAAGAGTTTTATCCGAGAATTGATCCAGAAATAATTTCTCATAAATCATTATGATAAATTGCTGGATTTATCTTTTTTGCTATATATATCTTACTATTTATTTTTTGAGTGATAAAATATTCATAAAAATTTTCAGATTTTGATTCTGTTTAAAGCAATTAATTAAAATTATTAATTTGTGTACTGCTTGTGGTGTTGAGAATAATTCGAAATCTTCGCGATGACGCAAAATTGTCGCCATAGTTGAAATTCAAATGATTTTGGAGATATAATCAGTCGAAAGTTTATATCATTTATTTGCTTTTTCAAGGAATTTTTCAGACAAAAAGAAAGATTTTTCTAAAATTTGCGGTTTGTGAAGTGTTTTATTTTTTCATTTTATTTCTAAAAAATAGGACAATTTTTTAAACAAAAAACTTAAGGAGAATTTTACACACAATTGTCAATGAATGGCTAAAGGAATCGAAGAACCAAGAACAATGTTGAAAGTGACAAAGAAAGCGAAATCAATGTTTATGTGGATTCACAAAATTTTTTTCCGAGATAAATTTTTCTAATTAGCAATCTTTTCGCAAATTTTTTACACTTCGTTTAACTTGGGGAAAGAAGATTTATATATAAAATTTCTTTTCTTTTTTTCGCTTTATAAAAGTCAAATTTTGAATCTTAAATAGAGATTTAATGCTTAATTTTTATGAATGAATATTGATTAAATAAATTAAATTTATTTCAAATAT